CATTGCGCGTATTTGATGGGAAACAAGATATCTTGTTCCTGCTTGCTAAAGGGAAGCAATTTCTGAACACCGAGACAGATGTAATATTTCTATAGAGCCCAGGTGGGTAGAAGATAAAGGATTTGGGGGTTTGTCCGGACTGTGGGGATTATAAGAACCTTGGCATTTGAGTAAATTCCGACTTCACACATGCTGCGGTCCGTCCAGCTTCCGGGCCATTTCACGGAACTTGTGCATCCGATACATTACTAGTGACGTAAATTGGTACAATGCGGAGCCGTCAGGCAGTCTGTTACCCCATTCAACTCCTACGAAGTGGATATTTGATAGTTTCCATCTGATAACTGTATAGTACAATAAATCAGTGCTCACAATAATTGCTTAACTCCCCGAGGAGGCATTCCTTCTTGATTCCGACTATCTCGAGTCCCGGTAATCTGATCTGTGATATTACAAAAATAACTGTATTTAGGATTATGATTTAAAGTATTCAATACATTTTTTGTCACGCTCTTCTACGTTATTTGAACTACTAATATGTATAAGTTTTAGCTGCTTGGTGCTTGCATGAGGTCATTAAGGTCATTATTGAAATACAATATCACCAGAAGGTATTCCTCATACCGCATTATTGAATAGACTGCGGGATTGTTAAGGACACGTGATTATAAATATCCGATGCGTGCTTATAAAGCAATTTCTATATTAGTAACATAGTTCACGGTTAACGGAAGTTCAGTTGGTATTTTGGGCTTCCGGGAAGCAGCTCGGAAAGTAGACGGACCGCAGCATATCCCGAGTTGGGATTGGGCCAATCGAACATTTAAGATACATATTGAACCACAGAGCTTGCTTTCTACCTTCGCGTCTTTCGTTTGGTTGTCTACGGTCTCCCGCCACACTGTAGACAGTTTATGCCGGATCAAATATGGATAGAGTAGATATATGTTCCCAGTCAGTGGTAAATTACCATTCACCTGACTTGAATGACTAAATGCACTGCGTTTCTATGAGAAAGTATTTATCACCTGCACAACAGCAAGGACCAGACATTACTCTGTCCGAATAGTAACCGTCTTTGACAATCTCAGATCTCTCGAACTTGCGCCAGCACTGAACGTATATTCTCCTCCCTTAACAGCCCATTGTTGCGCCTCCACATCCCAAAAAGACACATCCCGTCTGCGGATCGGGAACGTCACAGTCGACCTCTCCCTGCGAGCCAGCTCTACCCGCTCAAAGCCTCGAAGCTGGCGCACGGGCTGCTTCGCACTCTCGGGATACGATAGGTACAATTGCGGAATCTCAGCTCCAGCCCTGCCACCGGTGTTCGTGACGCTGACGGTGACGTTCGCGATAACGTCCCATAAGTCCACTGGTCCACCGACAGATTTTTTCCCTGAAGGGTAGACAGAAAGGGCTTCAATGGATGGGACGTTCAAATCGGTGTAGGTGAAGTTAGTGTATGATAGACCATACCCAAATTCATACCGGGGGGTGACGTTGTAGGCGTCAAAGTAGCGGTAGTCGATATACACGCCTGCGGCAATTAGGATACACTCTAGAAATACGAAGAGGAAATTAAAGAAAAGACTAACCATCTGTGAAGTCGCACTCCTTGGTATCACAAACCCTAACGTTATAATCCGACTCATTCTTGGCAATCGTATAAGTCAATCTCGCACTCGGATTCACCTCACCATACAACACATCCAAGATGGAGTTCCCCGACTCCTGGCCTAGAAGAGACGAATATAGCACGGCAGTGACATTCTCATGCTCAATCCATTGATCGACCAGCCGTGGACCCATGGTATTAATCACCACAACTGTGTTGTTGCAATTATCTGCCACAGTCTTGACCATCATATCCTGGTCCGAGTTGTACAGTTCTGTGCGATCGGCGCCTTCGCCGGCCAGGGCATTGAGAAACACCAGGCACACATCGGAGTCCTGAGCGTAGTTGACATACCCGGGAACGACTCCTGTCCCGGCACCCAGAGCAGAGGTCTCACTAGACGTGTACGTGTCGTTGAGAATCCAGCGTAGCATGGTTCCGTCCCGTAGAGCCCGGAAGGTCAATGCGGTCAGTGGCGTTACTAACAACGGAAACGACGCCTGTCCTGATCCTGTTCCAGTCGCCAGATGTCCATCATATGTCGGACCCGACCCGGTGATGGGGTTATACGCATAATTGGGGCCGGCCATGGCAGCCCCGGCGTTTGCACCGAAGACGCCCATGATCCGGGGCCTTTTGAGCGGCAACGCGGAGCGTTCGTTCTTCAACAAGACAATTGACTTGGATCCAATCTCCCGAATCAATCGAGTATGGTTCGCACGGACATCCACATAATCGGTTTCCCCAACCGTGGCTGGCTGCTTCCCGTTATCCAGATTGAGCTGGTAATAGGGTATGACATTGCGAATGGCCATGTCGTTCAACCGCTGCATAGACAAAGATTCATTCTTCAACATTGCAGTGATGGCAGACTCGCTCCAATACGTCGATGACCCGTAATCCAACCCTCCTGCAGCGGAGGCGAGACCTGCATGCTGGGCACTGACATCCGGGTAAACCAGCCCCGGAAAGCCCAACTCATCCTTGAGATGTCTCATCAACAGACTATAGTTCTCGCAGCTGTTGGTTCCGTTGACTTTATTCATGGCACACATCACAGACCCCAGGCCGCTCTTGACTGCGTCATAAAACGGCCAGAGGTACAGCTCATAGAGGGTTTTATCATCCGCGTTGGCAGAATACGGACCTAAGAACTTCCGTTTCTCGCTTTCAGACATGGAATCGTACCCGGCGATATTATTGTTTGTGCGGTTTGTTTCTTGTTCGTTAAGAAGGAAGTGCTACATATTCTCGGTCAGTTACTCCAGGAATGAATGACACGGGGTGGTGGAAAGTCACCTTCGCCTGTGAAACCACACCCTCCTCTGTATACGCCTTGACAGTCTCCGCCGTGACAATGGCATTCAAGAAAGGGTCCGGACCAAACGTCTCGCCTGCGCGGCCTCCCCACGCGGTCCGGCCGAGAGGCTGAGAGGTCGGACCGAAGACGACTTGGACGCCCTTCTGATAGAACTCCCGTGCGACGGCGCGAGCCTGTGCGGTAACGGCATCCTTGTCCCATGTCATGGAGAGGGCGGACGACTGGCTGAAGGCAGAGACGTAGTAGTATTCCAGGAGGCCCATAGAGCCATCGTTGAAATCCATCCCGGGGAAGGTCTCCCCATCGACGGTGGCACCCCCACCAGTCACGATGGAGACCTTCTGTGTGGTGTTTAGTTTGGCGACGAATTTGGACGCTCGTTCGTAGGCGGCTTCCCAGGTTCCAAGATCAACTGAACTTGCGTTAAGTGGTGGTAGTAGAAGGGTTTAAGGTAGGGGGACGTACCGCCATTGTGACCGAGAATGCCTATGGACGAAGTGTTCTCGGAGGCAAGAGCATGGCTGATAAATGCCAACACGGCCAAAGTATGGCCCTTCATAGTGGAATATGACGGGATGTAGTCCGATCTGAAACTCTAGGACGGGACGAGACCGATGGCATTCTTATAGATTTCAGGGTCTTGCGTCTACGTTAGTCGTGACATGTCGCGGACCCATGCTGACGAGTGCGCAGGCTCTAGACCCGTGTCAGTGTGTGTTTGTGAATGTTTCAATCTGATCCGTCGCGTCGGATATCACGACAATGTACATGAGGCTATCTGCAGATGTCAAACACCCCTGAGTCCTCATTTATTTCCCCCATTCTCTCTAAATACGGATCCTTATGGATCCTACACGCTATACTGTGACGTAAGCTCGTCTATATTTCTGTTGGGCAGAGCAGTAGTGGGTGCCATGAATACAGAGGTGAAGACGTGTACAGTTTCGACCGCATCCAAGGGGACGCGGTTCATGTAGTCTCAACTTGCTTAATATGTCATCTATGATGTCGATCGCGAGACTTCTTGGCGGATGGCCGCGTAGGTTAACAAGGCGCATTCTTCAGGCGTCACTGTTTCAGCCACGCAGATTTCTAGAAAATACCAAGATTTGTCCGACTTCAGTTGGAACACATGGGTTCAAGATGCCTAAAGATGGTACCGAAGTGGGGACGGTGGAGTAAGTAACCTTATCATCTTCAGTAGATCAGTGCTTGGCTGCCGAATCATGCAAGTTTAATCGTTCATCGCGATCACGTAATCGGAGCAAGGGATGCCGAAAGGGTCCCAGTGAGGGTTCAACATAATACAATTAATAGTGCTGTGCAGACTATAAATGGGTCAGTCGATGTTTCGAAGCAATAATGTAGTGAAATTCTTTCCTACGCCTTGACTTATATCGCTACCCTTTCGGTACGAACAGTCACAACTTGGTTAAGACGGAACACGAGAAGGATACGACAATGGCGGAGATATTAAATCTTCACTATACTGAGGATGCGGGAGTTGATACTTATCGCTACTCTGGAAGATATGTTATCGTGGCCAGGTAGTCTGGATGATGCAGGATATAGCTCCCGATATCACAAACTCATCGCCGAGAAAGGAAACTAACTGATGATAAATGTCGGACCTCGTATCTCTGGAGTTGATCTGCCGTAGTTCAGTACTATATATATCCCCAATTATTGTACAGAATAGCAGAAAGAAATGACAACGTCTCCTAGACTATTACGAGAAACGAGCAGCTGTGACATACCGCACGAAAACCACCGAACCTCCTTGTGTCATTGCTTTGGCCAACAATTCCCTCAGATCAGGGCTACGACCCATTAACTAGCACGACTACATGTAGTGTGTTCTACAAACCAGTGGTTTATTATTGAGTGAGAAATATGTTTTTGTCTACGGAGTCGTACGTCATTTGAGGACTGGGCTCATTTGTCACACAGAAAGTGCACTCTTATCGCATTGATCTGGACAAACAAGTGCAGCTTACCAATCGCAGAGGTAATACGAACTCAAAATACCATTGCTTTTTAAAAGTACCAAATTCAACACCTACTCTATCTACTCCTGTTCCGAACATTCTTACCCTCCTTATCCCCTCCCAAAAACCCTTCCAGGCATTCACATTCTCACCCCACCATTACCGCTTCTCCATCCCACATTTCGTCAAACACTCCTCCACCTTAATCGCCATATCCGATGGAATGGCATCCCGGATTTTCTTTATATCCTCCCCAGTAATACTCTGCCCAAAGGTCCGTGCAATGATCCCATCACTGAGGGAGAACAGTTGCTCTGCCACCAAGCTCACAGCGAATTCATCAGATGTGAACGCAGCGGTGAAGTTCGCTGGCTCGCAGTCCGGGTTCACTTGCGTGTGAAATGAACCTGCCGGGTAGATGGTTACTTGACCAGGGCGCAGGTCCGTCCGGATAACCCGCTGGCTGTTGTTGCTATCAAGAACTCCAGCTTGGGGGACCATTTCGGAGAGAATATGGCCGGAATTTAGAGCAAATAGTTCAGTGGCGCGGGGGTGGAGGTGGAGGAAGCTCATGCTGCATGCTATTTGAAAATTAGTCCTGGGCTGTTTGTTTGATTGCATTTCAGATGTACTGATGTCTTACCTGGAAGTTGCGACATGCTGATAGCGGCGCCGACATCAACGAGTGCTGGCCAGTTCTGGCTTGTGGCTACTGGGATCTGTTCTGTGCCGGTGAAGTTGAAGACAAAGTCGGAGTCATTAGGGAGCAGTTTGTAGCGCTCGATTGCCCTTTTGTGCTCATCCAAGTTAGATTATCGGAAGCTTGCAGTTTGGATTAGAGTAGAGGACTTACGTATCGGCAAGCCGAAGTTGAGCTGTCAAACTGAGGTCGGAATTTGAGCGCTTGGCTACCGGGTGCGGCACTGCTCTCGTTTGAAGGACCAGAGCAAGTATGATCATAAGATCGAAATATAGAGAGGAAGAGAAAAGCATTGTGATGTCGTGTTGGTTTTGAGCTTTGTGTTCAATGTCCCAGGAAAAGAGTAATACAGCTGATAGATGGTGAAAATGTTGGATGAGGAAGTTGGAATTTCGTACAATCAAGCAAGCTGTCGCCGAGCTTTATATATTCATGGAAGGCCTGGAGACTTTCTCTACGTTTTGTCATACTCTGCTACCACATAGAAAGTCTAGTCCTAACATTACACCTTTTGATTCCACAGAGTATCGATTCCAAATCTACACATCACAGCCACGAGTCTCCGAACCATACAAAGTTGTCGCCAAGCTCTCTGTTGTCTGGGCACGGCCACCCCGGCGTATTAGTAATACGCCGCATATTTCATCCATCGATAGAACCATCACCTCGTGTTGATGCAGCGGGGAGGCGTAGTTCCCGCTGGAGGCCATGCACCTCGTACTCTCACTGCCCAACTTGCTTGGCGCAGTCATTCCAGGGCCCGACTCATGGTCTTCACAACTGGTCGACTACTGAATAACTCTAATTTCACGGTTATTCACATCGAGCAGAGCCTCACGCTAGACTACCCGCCATGACAAATACCAGACTGATGGTTCTGCACGGGCAACTTCTCCATTTATGAGGCTGAGTAAACCTAAATTTTGCCTTGAGGACTCTTTACTAATACGCCCCAACCGCCCTTCTGCGAAGGACCCCAACTTCTACGGTCCAACATTGTAGCTTAGCGTGCCGTCGGCAATATGGCCATCAATAAAACGCTCTCAGATCTCCAAGGGACCGGATATAGGTTGCGCAAGTCACATGAAAAGTCCCGCAATGGCTGTCTCAGATGCAAGCAGTTACGCAAAAAGGTATTACACGATGCATATGCTGTGATTCCATACTACATAATTCAGACCATTGGTTCTGATCGTATCACCAGTGCGATGAAGCCAGACCAAAATGCTCGCGATGCACCAGACTGTCGTATACATGTCAATATCAACACCATCCGAGTGCCAGCGGATCGGACACAGAGCCGGGCGGTATCCCGAACTCGGAAACTGAATTCGCAGGATCCGAGTTGGTAACAGTGCGTCCTCGGGGCTCCATAACGCCATCCACTGGCCAACTTCCTCTTTCACCACAATCGACTAACGATGAGGATATACTCAACTTGGACTTGCCCTCCCCGGATCCTCTCAACGCGACCGAGCTCAGTCTCTTAGCTCACTATCTCTCCCACACCAGCCAAACCATCCCGTTCGACTCCCTCGATCTCCACGCTCTATCGGTCGGGGTACCTAATCTCGCCTTCAAATGCAAGGCAGTCATGTCATCCCTGCTAAGCCTGGCAGCAGCATGCAAATGCCATGACATTGCACATGAATACCCTCAAAAGCCCCTCGATAACCAAACCCTAACAGAGATTCAAGACCTCCTTGCGTTAGCTGAGCGCCATCACGCGGCATCCCTCCGCCACATCCAAGCCACTATGCAAAAAGCCCGGGGATACGATAACGTCCTCGCTAATGCAGCGTTGATGGTCTTGTACGCCTCGGCTAGTCATTCCATCCGCGTTCATTTAGCAGCCACAGCTAAACTACATGGGCAACGGCTCCCAGCCGAGTTATTACCGCAACATTCGCAATGGATTACGTTCACACGCGCAGCACATACCGCATCTAGCGCTATACTCAATGATATTGTCAACGCTACTGCTGCTGGCAGTGCGATGGATACGGGGTTAGAGTCCCATCCGACAATGTCAAATTCTCTATCACCGCAAGACGGTCCATCTCCGACAACGAAGCGCTTATTTCTCCCGCTCGTGGCATCCACCTGTGATCGTGCTCTCAGAAGCCTCCGTAGAAGAGCAGAACGCACAACTGCTGTGCTGCTGCAAGCTCCTGCAGCATGTAGTACGATCGACCAACGACGGGTCCATGCATTACTCGAAACCATAACTGTACTAGAGAGCTGCGCATTGGCAGCGCTATCGCCACGGGCAAGTGACAAAGGGAAAATGATGTCTGCGACGTCTCCGAATACTCAGCACACAGCGGGTTCTGAAGGTTCCCGTGCTGTCTCACCATGGGTAGCTCAGTACATGATCAGTGTTACGTCTATGGAGGCGCCGCAGATTCTCAGGAGGATTATCATGTCGTTCCTGAACAAAGCTCCGACCGAATTTCTAAACATCGTGCAATCGGTATTGGATTCCCCCACCGCAAAAGATAGCAATAAAAGTACAACACTATCGCCGCCATCTACAACCAGGGAGCTATTGATGGCCACTCCGATACATGTCCTGACAATGGACATATTTGCTCATTGGCTGGTTCTGGTAATGTTATTAGATGGCGTGTGGTGGATCAGCGATGTTGGAGAGTGGGAGCTCAGCCAGGTCATTTCTATGATGAAGACACATAATGTCATTTCCCAGTTGGCTGACACCAGTGAAATATGGTGGCCGGAAAGTATGTACTTAGTCAAGCGAGAGCTTACCACCGATCTCTAGTAGTGATAGGTGTTGGATTTCAGGGAATGTATGAAAATGGTAATAAGTAGTAGACCAATTATATATTATATGCCTTATTATCGCAAACTAACTAGAAGGCATGAACCCATATACATAATAAACAGTGAAAGTCGGGTTGTCCTCATGCTCGATGGAGGCGATATCAGATGCGACAAGGCACAACATTCATCTTCCTTAAGTGAGCGGTTCATAGATATGGTAAGGTACATCTAATATTAAATCAGTTAAAGGTTTGATAAGAAGGTATATCTAATCTGAAAATGGTACACTGCAAACAATCCTCATATACTCGTCGCTGAACGGTCAGGTCAAGACAAATCTATCTCGATGACTAGGACCATTCCACAAATCGGACCCTAGTCAGCCATGCACCATCTGGTCCATTAGGCTTCGAAAGCAGAACAACCTGGCGGGTACATCGAAGATCGTCTGGCTGCGTACACGAAGGAACTGTTTCATAGATACGATCCCTATCCTCCGGGACCCTTTCTTGTACGTCCAGCGATGACAAATTCGCTTCTTCCAGATCAACCACCAATTGAGCAATTTTCACAATGATACGTTGATCCCATAGGCCCTCTTGTTTGGTACACCGACTCATCTGTCGGATAGCCTCGCGACGGATAATCGGATCACGGCACCTGACTGCTGTGTAGTACAACCCTGTGACGATACGTATTTCGAATGTGAAGATATCCGGTGCGCATTTCGTGGACTTGCGCTCTGTGACATTGTCAATATCAATAAGTTGACCGGCACAGCGAACAAGCTCCGCGAAGGCAGAATTATATTCATCGAAGATGGTTTCCTGTCTGGCCAGACATGTTTCCGTCCATATCCATGAGACGAGATATAATGTACGCAAGAGCAACAGTTCTCGCCGATTGTCCTTCCGGGAGTTTTCTGCGTCCTTTGTATAGCTTTCCAAGGCTCTTTCCCATGTTTTGTAGTCCTTCCTGAGCTCTTCCTGTTGGGGCTTTAAGTGTGTGCGATCTGTGCGTTCATAACCTGCAGAACGGACGAACATGAGTGTCTTGTTCATGAGCTTATAGAGTGCGTGTTGAGCCCAATAAGGGTCCGACCAAACGGGCCTTCCATCTGAGCATTTCACTTGGGGGTAAGTGGGCTTGATATCCAAGGTAACCATCGGCCGTCCGTTCATTGCAAGCTGGACATTCAGTCGAAGACTTAATTTCCACAATTCCAGATATGTCCCGCCTAGTTTACTGCCCAAAGGCTGCAGTTTCCCGATGACGCTCTGAACTATCTTCAGGCCTGCTTCGAGGTGGTCTAGGGCTTGCTGGTGATTACCGTTCAACATCTCCAAGCATACAAAAAGGAAGCATGTGATGACCAGGAGATCGATTCTGGGGTTTTGCAAGACGAGATACGTCCTCAAATGTCGAATGGCCTCGTTATAATGAAATATGATGAAGCGGTCATTCGCAGCTCGACGCTCCGCAGGGGATAATGGATTCCGCTGTAGCACAAGCGCCCGCTCATGGGCCGCGCTTACTGCCGCCGTGGCATGCCTGACGACCGGCTCACATTCGCTCAGTTGGGGAAGATGGCGCATCCAGAGATCAGACTCAAATACCCCAGATAACGCGCGGGCCGTCTGTGAGCAGAAGAAGTACAAGTAATGTCGCTCCTTTTGCGTTCCTGGTCGAAGGACCATGCGATGGTCGACGGTCATCATTGGCTTACTGGAGGCGACAGGCTGGTGTTTGTTGCCCGGGCGTGATTCACTATATCCATCGCACTTCCTCCCTGTACGCTTGCACTGATAGCATTCTGGCTTTTGTTCATCGCATTTGACATGCCGAATTCTGGATGATGAGCTGGTTAGTCGGACGATGCTCTTCAGGCGCCCAAGGCTCCGGCTTGTACCTGCAAGTGAGACACCCTGTCCTCGACCTTGGTCCGGATGCTCTTCTTCGCTTGACCATCATGGAATACGAGGTTTCTGCAGGAGTATCTTTTGCCAAGCCAGATGTATATCGGAGGACAATGAAAGCCTATTAGGTAGCAGCGATCCAAGCAACCCATGGCTCACAGCCTCGCCAGTCGCTTATCACCCTGGTCTTCGTAATCACCCCGCCTTCCGTTCTAGGCTAAGCTTCGTACTGCCAGCATAATGACACACCGCCTATTCTCACAGTTCTGCCTGAGGCTGTTATCATGTCTCTTGAAGCTAGATCAAATAGCAGTTCAACAGGTAGTAGATCTGACCACGGTTTAGAATTGATTCATGAAGGTCCTCGAATGGAGACCAAGATATGTGTCTGGCTGATAGGAGCCTGAGTCGCTTGGAAATGGAAGGTGTATTTTGATATCCTATGTGTAATCTGCACAACCTTAGACTACCGATCGACTATAGTATGGTCACTTAGGCAGTTGTCTTGCAAACTGTGAGAGATAAGTAACAGCTATGCCGGATTCTTGATTACGTTATTTTACGTAATCACTGGGGAGACTGCATCTGTTGGAAGGAACAGTACACCAACACATTCTAATATCTAGTTGTGCACTCAGTATATATCTGGGTGTATGTGGGTTTTAATAGGGCACTCATTATCTCATGGGGTATCATGGCCTTGTTGTCTAATATGTCTTGAGAAGAAGTGGGCGGCCGACCTGGAGTTAGATTTGTCATCAGCTTAGTTCACCTGACTCAACAACCTTCTGGACGATCACAACCGGCCATTTGCCAAGACAACCCAACAGAACATATCCAAGGACAGGTATCCCATCGCTCTTCTAATATCATGGCCTTTAGAAGAACGCGTACAGGACGTCTTGCACGTGCTGCACAAGATGGAAGACATTCCGGTCGCTCATCCCTAGTGAAGTCCTCAAGGACCAATCCGACAAGGACTGGCCATCAGGGGATGACACAGGAAAGTCCTAACCAGCCTGTCGAACCGCTCTTGCCACGATTGATGTCATGGTCCGACACACTTGCTTTGGTTGAAGAGCAATCCCTTGAAACCCAGGTACAAACATACAAAGAATGGAAGCGTGAGTGCATTCCTTTCCGTCTATTGTCTCCTGGTGTCCTCCCTTGTCATCATTTACGTCACACAGGAAATGGATCGGCGCACGAAAATTACTGCCGCGTTTGTCAAGCGGATGGGGAAAGTCTCGAGCCTTGTTCAACCTGCCGGCTTGCGTTCCATGCCGATTGTATTCCAGCAGGTTGGCTGCGTGATTCCCAAAATTCACTCTTTTGTCCAATATGCGTCCTTCGCGGTTGGCATACCACTCCCCCTACATTGTCACCACCGGCTTCACCACCGCCGGAAGAACGGAATGATTCAAGATCTGCTGCAGCTCCGACTACGTCAGCATCTGACCCCGACACGAACTCCTCATCCAATACACATCCTCATAGTAGCGCCTCGGACGGGCCCTTAGGCGTCTCTTCAATACAACAAGCTCCAACGGGTGATAGACATGATGTACCAGCGAGTGGTCCTACTGCTCCCAAACGACTATATGATCTTCTTGGCCATGATGATGAAGCTACGGAAGATAATGTGACATCTCAACGACCGCGACGCCAGCGCAAGTCTCGTTATACAAACCTGCCGACGGAAGTAGATACAGCGCTGTCAGTTCTATACCGAGAGCTCGAGTCGAACGAATCCCTTAAGAGGGAAGTGGAGGAACTCCGGAACGAGAATACCAAATGTAATCAATCTATCAGAATCCGCGATCTTAGTATCATCGCCCTACGCAGAGAACTGGACTATCGTCGGTCTTCACATCAGGAGATGGAAACACTGCGGGCGACGGCGACTCAACTCGAGAATGCAAAGAAGGAAATTCAGGAGCTACGCGCAAGGAACGAAGCGCTGAGTATGGAATTGCAAACATCGAGAGAGGAAACAGCGGAAGCTCAGGCTCTTGTGCGAGATTGGAAGGCTAAGCTTTCTCAACTCATTGGGAATTGAAATTCTGTCCTTATGACAAAGTACTAGCACTTTATGTTATGATACCACATCTGTTGATATTTATTATTTCGATCCTTGTCTATCTCCATGTATAGCCGCATTCATACCTCCACCCTTTCAGATACAGTCGAGATCTGCAGATAAACTTGCACCGTTGATCCGACGATGACGAAAGAAAGAATCCCACATTCTCAACTAACCCCCCAACCATAGCCAAGAATGCACCGCATCCACTTCCGACACTCACCCAACTGACCACCCACATAAATTTTCACGCCTTCACATCCAATCCCCACCCAACCTTAGCCACCCGCGCCGCCGCAACCGCACACGCACCCAGCAGAATGCTCACACCCGCGAAAATCTGAGCCGCCATATACCTACCTCCATCAGTAGCGATCAACGCCCCTTGAATAGCTGGCCCGGTCAGCGTCGCAAATCCCACAATACTCATGATCATTCCCAGCCTTGTACCAGTGCGATTGAGATCCGGCGTCATGGTCGTTGCCGTAGCGGGAATGAGTGATTGCGCGGCCCCGCCGACAATTCCATACACAACAGCAAATGCATACAGCCCTGCAACAGTACTAACAGCTATCCAGGAGAATATCAACACTGCACATGAAATACTGATGGGAATCAAGAGGTTCAATCGCCCTGTCCATCGATCACCAATAATACCCGGCGCGATACGTCCAACGATACCAACTCCATTCAACACGAGGATCAGGTTTTGTGTATCCGCGACACCAAGACGGTCTCGCGCAAAGGTGCCGAGGTAGAACCAGGCGAAATATAAGCCCCAGAAGTTGAAAAAGTAGGCTAGCGTGAAGAAGATGAAAGCTGGTTCAGCGAATGCGCCGATCTCAATGAGGGGGCCAGTTGTCCGAGGGGGAAGACGGGGCTTGAAGAACACAAGACCGAAGATCTGGGTAATCAGCATGAGAAGCCCAGCTGCGCGTATTGTCCAACCGAATCCTATCTGGTGGTTATACAGCAATTGGTTGATGAGAACGGGGTATATCAAACCCCCTGTTGCAGCGCCAGAAGCTGCCAAGCCCACTGCAAAGGCTCGATTCTTCATGAAGTAGGCGGACATGACGGAAAGTCCGGGGTTGAATGTAAGTCCATTGCCGAGACCCATGCATACCGCCTGAGCGAGGAATATCTGCCAGTAGGTTTTGCACACAGAGAGCGTGAAGAGCCCCACGAGCTGGAGGAGGACCCCGAGGGGGTACATGATTTTGAAGTAGCCGGCGTCTGTTGCGCGTCCGGTAAGGGCGCTCATGAAGAATAGGAGAGATACCTGGACGCTGCCGATCCAGGCGATGGAGGATGCTGACTGTGGTAAGGTCTTGGTATATAACTGCTCAAAGACGGAGAAGCTGGTCGTAATTCCCCAGGAGTTGAAGAATACAAAGTGCATGCACACGACTTGGGTCCATGCTTGGAGTCCTCCATCGGGTGGTGGTGGGGGTACGTGTTCTGAGTCATTGCTAGGTTTTCGACCAGATAGGAAGCTGTGTAGCTTCTCAGTTGTATACATGGTCATATTGCGAAGTCAGAAGGGTGGATGCAGATGTGTAAGCAGAGGGTCAAGAAGGGTCTCAAGACATGAAGGCCCAGATAGGGGGTTATAGGAAGTGGAGAGACTTTGTCTTCAGCCCCAATGTCCAGCCCAGAGTCATGGCTGTAGGGTGATGTGGGCCGATTATCAATCACCCACAGACAACGTAAATACCTCGGTTTCCTATATGGGTACTACGTACTACTATGTAAGATTTGTCACGTATGATTGCCGATATACTTGCCGCTGTCGTTACGGGAGCCAGAACAGAGCTTGAATTTCACAGTGCCGATCAGGCTGGAATGTGATGGCCTACGCACTTTATCTTTGTTCTTAAATGACCCCTTGGTTGAAACATTTTCATGTTAATATCTACGTAGACACGTATAATGGTCTGTGACAAGGCACTGCTGACCATTCCCTTTCCTTGGACAAGCTGTCCCGAACCATTTTAAGCAGGCCACTAGAATATGTATGCTGCTTAGGCAATGCTACACCTCATTTGGAAGTCAGTCATGCTATAAGACCTGTTCGTACACAGGATATAGCAGTTCTACTCGAAACCAAGAATCACGAAGAGCCGGTTCTCAACATCTGCGCGTCTATCGGGAACGGTTCTGACTTCGATACTCTCAGCGACAGCCGACAGCTAGTGTATAACATAACAGCGCGATGGCCCGAGTTGGACTTCGGAGCGCCTATCTATAGAGATAATTCAATACGAAAGGCTATACATTTCCTTCATGCCCATCAAATCGAGTATTATATTAGAGCTGCTCTCCTCACCTCTCGACCAAGCGTGGCTCTATATCTTTGACAAAGCAAGCTGCAGCATGACTTGCTTTCACTCGTGGAACTAGAAGTACAGTACTATGTGATACCTCCTATCGAAGTTGATTGATGATCATCCTGCGCGGTGGAAGTCATGTGACCATACAGCGCTCCTGCTGACAAATTCAAGGTGCGCTCTGCAATCCATTCCAGCGCAGTTAGCACACACATTCTTTCCAGCTTTAAGGGGAAAAAGGATGTCTCATATGGCACGTGCTCATTGTTTTTCTTGCAGAATGTAATCTTCAATCGATGCAAAATACAACATTATAGTCAAGCAAATGAATGCTGCTGTTTTGTAGAAAGTGTCTGAACGCTACGAGTTACTTCCTCAGTCGACATCTACCTGCTTACCAATCACCCGCAAAAACAATGGAATGTAACGGTGAACAAAACATTACAGGTATTCTAGTAAGAGGTATCAACTAAGTTGCAATCAAGCCGATACAGTACTTCGGATTGTACAGTGTTTGTAATATTCTGCACTCCAAATCTGCCAATATCTCCTCAAAATCGTGTGAGACGTGTGACATTGTCCTAGTTGTCTTCTAAAGATCCATTTTCTCCAGCTGTAGCCAAATCACTCAGACAACCGCCCAGCTTCCTTCATCGCCGCCCTAAATTCATCTTTCATCTTCAGGGCAAACTCATCGTTCGTCAAAACATCCAGAGTAATGAGTGCGTTGGCCTTGCCAGCCCGAAGCGCCTCCGTATGCGCAACATCACCCTTTGCGCTCTCGAGGAAACCAACGGAGTGTGGGAGATCGGGAGCTTTGATGTCGAAGAAGGCCTGGATGCCGGGGCAGATGTACGAGCAGCTTCCGAAGTCGCTGTGTTGTAGTTAGCTTCCGCCGAACTTGTCAAAAGAAGAAAAGGGGAACTCACGAGCTTCCTGACGAGTCATGCACTGTTCTGGCTTCCTTTAGAGGCACCATCTGCTCCGGTTGTAAGCCTAGATGCTGTAGCATATATTGTCTGTATTGCTCTGCGAGAGTATCGTTTGTCACGACGTCCTCGTATAGTGCAAACCTGCCACAGTTAGCACCACGATCACTTATATCGCACGAAAAAGAACAAAACAAACAACGTGAAAAGAAAGAAAACTCACCACTCCATCTCAACTCTACACCCCGTCGCCGCCGCCGCGCCATGAAAGACCCCCTCAACCCTCTCCCTCAACGCCTCGACCTCCTTAACCGTCTTAGCCCGAACACTAAACACACCCTCCGCATAATCTGGGATCAAATTCGCCACCTTTCCCGCCTCCAGAATACACCCCTGAATACTCTCACTTTTCTGAATATGCTGTCTCAACAACGCAATCCCATTATACGCCTGCACAATCGCATCGCACGCATTTATTCCTGTCCACGGGCCCCCCGCCGCATGCGCAGTCTTACCATAGAACTTGGCGCGCAGTTTCCATGACGCCTTGGTGCAGCATACCGGGGTACTGAAATCTGGCATGCCGTGCGTCATGACGCAGGAGTCGAAGCCCTTCCACGCGCCGTTTTGTGCCATCAGCCATTTCCCGCCTTGGGATTCTTCCGCCGGGGTACCCATTACGACGACGGTGCCGGGGAGGTTGTGCGTTTTGATCATGTGTTCGATGGCGACAGCGGAAGCGACGGCCGAGGTTGCGATGAGGTTGTGGCCGCAGGCGTGGCCGATGTTGGGGAGGGCGTCTATTGGGGGTGGGGTAGGCGGTTAGTCTGCGTTGTAGTTCAGGGTAGAGCATGATGAAGAGTAATGAATTGAAAACGGACCATATTCTGCGTTGAAGCAGACCGTTCGACCGCCCTCTTTGACGGAGAATCGTGCTTCAAAAGCGGTTTCGATCCCATAGACACCGCGCTGAACGGTCCAGCCGCGGTTTTCGAGCCAGTCGGAAAGTAACTTGCTTGCTTTGACTTCTTGAAAGGCGATCTCGGGGTTATTGAAGATCTAGTCGTTTTGTAATCGTCAATATTGTTCGGAGTGCATCGTAAGGTGGAGTAGTGACCTCGAGATTCAGCTTGCGTAGCTCCTCGCTGGCATCGTCGATGACCTTGCCTATTTCGTTGATCACCTCAATTGATTGGAGAGGGTAGCTGGGTATCTGTTGAGCCATTGTTGTTAAGATCTGCACGTATTTTTCGTCCAAATCGATTGCAGTAGAACAGGTCATCTAAAGGCTGTTGGTTGACTTTTATACCTCCATCATCGCGAGCGGGGAATTGCGGGGAAGCCAGCGGAAAGCCAAGGCGATAAAGACCGATAAAGTCTGATAGCCGCATGGCTTATCTGACGGATGGCCAGATAACAAAAGCTTGCGCGGGCCGAATGCCGATAGTTCCGCTATCATCAGCAGATAGTTATCAACATGACAGCTGGCCACATTAGTTGATTATTCGAATATTTCTGATATCAGTAGACGCTTGTCTGAAAACAGTCATACATCACGGCTAATCTTTAACATTTCTGTGTGTTTAGAAGATGCCGTTATCTATAAATTCAAACATGGGAAAGCATGATGCAGCTACCATGTTTTATGGAACGTGAACCATTTTCCTTCTGAACCCCGTCTCTGCTCTCCAGCTGTTCTCAACAGTATAGCAACTTGCCGATCAGAGACATCTTTGCATTGTATCTTTGTCACCCGATGATCAGCACACACCCATGGTCCCTCACTGCACGACCCCGGTGGGGAAGTCTGACATGCTGTCCTTTCGAGTCCAGTAAGCGTCTCCCCGAGTTCCAGAGCTAACATGGTACCGCACATGCCTTCGCGACGTGGGTAGAGTCTCATGAGTTCCAGCGCCCGTTCTCGTATTGTCGGTTCACGGCAACGAACCCCGATCAGGAACAGGGTCTCTGTCACTGTACTCTCTACACTGAAGTGCCGTTTTGCTGGTTTCGAACCTGTATCGGACTCTTCTGCCGAGGGGTTGTTCAAGCCTTCGAGAATTCTGCTTGCTAGATCAAGCATCTGCGCGTAAACCTCGATAAACTCGTCGTGGGCGAGCTCGCCCTTCGTTGGATCTAATGACAGCATCACTTTGGCGTAAGAACGGCGTAAGTAGAGAACGTTCGCGGCTGTGGTACCACTTTCATGGGGTGAGCCGGCAAGATATGTTTCTAACTTAGAATTCCATTGACGAAACTCATGAAGACAATCTTCCTTCTTCGCAAGCGCTTCAGGTGCAGGTATCTCAATGTCGCTTGTTAAAAGCTTCAATGCGTTGTTGTTGACCTTGACCTCCAGGAAGACGTGTGCTTCATCGAGGGACGTAAAGCACCCTTCAAAAGCAGGTAGTTTGAATTGGGTTGTCCAAGGAACTGGTAATGCTTGAACTAGAAAGATCTGGCGGACCTGACTGTCGAGTTGGGCTAGAAGGAGTATCACGGAAGATATAGCCTCAGATGCATGGGAATGGGTCTGGAAGTCTCTATTCCACTGCTGACATAGAACCATAGCACTGGCAACATGTGCCATAGCCTGGGAATGAAACCCCTGCAAGCTTAGTAGGCAGATAAATATCACACACGTTGCTAAAATGACCATCTTATCGTGTGTTGTCAAACGCGGCTTCGACATCAACTCCCGTAAAAACTGTATGGATTTGGTATGTTGCTGTAAGCCAAATCGCACCCTGGCCGTACTACAAGCCCTTGTAATTGCAAGTGGCGCCACATCCTCCAGGAAGTCTCTATGCAAGGAAGCCAGCGCGGTAATAGCATGCCATAGAGCGGGATAGGAGTAAGAAACCTGCAGCAAGGTGTATGACCAAAATCCCGATTTGAAGAAACCTGTCAAGGTGGGAGCAGTAACTACGTGAAAGTAGTGGAAATATTCATGGTCTATTGGCTTGTCGCCAATAAAACTCCACGCCGATGGTACCTGCAGCATGCCATGTGGCTGGGCTGACTCGGCCTTGAGGCGGGTAATCTGCTTGGCGCGCGGGTCTTGGTATCCATCGCATTTCCGACCAGTAGTTGTGCATCTCTGACAACTATATTACGGGCCTGTCAATGGATACGGTTCATGGGATTGGGTCGATTTTACGCACCTCGGCTTGGTTTCGTCGCATTTTACATGCCGGATTCTGTCGAGTCAGTAATTTCGCCCACCCTTAAATGACAAAAGCCCGTTATACCTGCAGGTTATGCACCCTGTTCTAGTCCTGGTGACCCATCGCTTCTTTCGTTGTTTACCAGATTGGTTGAGCCGTGAAGCGAGCTCCTGCGGAGAAGCTGATGACATTGGGGGGACGAGAAGAATTTGGGAGGTCCAATGGAGCACAGAATATACACGTTTAGACGAGGCAGCCTGTGGGATGAGGGTTCAAAATGTGAACGGCACAACTCTAGGATTAGCTGACGTGCAGGCGCTGTTTGCCGAAAGGATGCAGGCGCCGTGCGGGCTAAACCGTCGTATCACGTGGGCGCTATCTTCGTTAATCAGCTTACGCTTCACTAATTAAGTACTTCTTAACCAACTTTGCTGGCAAATACTCATAGTAATGCATATAATATTTGGCTTGTCTATAGTCTGTCAAACAAAGGATAACGCACTTCATCCATCTCATGATATGGTTCCCTACTTACAAGGTCCCACATTGTCCTAGAATGATATGTATTCTCCAGAGGACATTCTGTAACACAGGGTCTCCACCGCAGTTAGCTCCTATGATCACATAATACTTTAAAACTGAGTTGAGATTATTAACTGGGTCACCCGCGTGGAGGTAGGAACAGCCCTGTAGCTCTATTGAGTCATGTCCGAGCCATGCCGCGCAGCAAGTGGAATCAGCATCCGCGATGGATCTTCACTCCGAACCGAAACTGTGCCGCCAATCTCGCAGTCCCACCCGAGCTGCTCGGCTTTAAGATGGCTACAAGAACCCTGGTAGTATTCGCCCCATAGAAAGTGGGCCGATTGTCAAGGGAAGGCGCTGCCGCCACACTAGCCAGGCTTTCTCCACACCGGCCTTCGATTATGCTATATTCTCTGTCCACTTAAGAAGATAAGATTATATTTACATAAGATGAGACTTGATTTATAGGAGGGGCAAAAATTATTATTTATTAATATATTAAATTAGTATTTGAAAAAAAAGATATATCTGTTTAAGAATAGGGCGAGGAATATTAAAAAGACTATATTTTAAGGAGAACAGATCTTGTCTTGAATAAGCGGAGGATATGACATGAGTGAAGAGTAGTGTAAAGAAAGCCTGGCTGGTATAGCAGTAGTATCTGTCTTGTTAATATGTTCTTGAAGGATGAAGTGTACATACTAGAAGCTTTGGTAGGAAGCCTCAAAGAAGACGCGGCTTACAGTGGGTTATGACGAAACAACACTGCCATGTTTGCCAAAAAGGCAAAAACAGAAAAGTAAAAATAAAATGAAATAAAGATAAAATAAAAGGATACATTTTGCGTTACTTGGAGGTGGTAAGGAAACCACTAAGTTGTTCGGGAGGATGTCTACTATAACGGACTTGATTCTAGTGGGCTACAATCTGGCTTAAAGAGAAGAACTCTGATAAGAAGGAGGTACCCGTACATTTTGTTGTAGCATCGATGACATTCATCTCCAAATAATTACAATGATTGGCTCAACTGACAGTATAAATGATCGACAAGAAAGATACATAAACACAGGAGACAAAGAAAGGGATGCACGAAATGATTCAAGGTGACATGTTCTAACACAAGATGATTCTTGATGACCAACCCAAGCATCAAAAACGACCCTAGTAAGGAGTCTGGGCGGCAAAGTAATCCAGGATTAACTGGACACGCTCAGTCGCAGCAGTATCCATGGTCTCGTACACAGCACCGACCAAGAAAGTCTCGTTCTTAGACGGAGAGTTGGCATTCCACTTGGCAGGGAGGGTTCCATTGTTGTAGGAACCGCCGGTGTTGGGGTTACCAGTCTTCATGAAGTTGGCCCAGTAGCTGCTCATGACATTGGCCACGTAGTAATCCTCCTCGGAGTAGTCCTCACCCTGGGCCCACAGGTTGTTCAAGACGTAGACAATCTCAGAGGCATGGGCAGCGCTACCGTAGTTCCAGTAGTAGGTGTAGGTGTCAACCTGGTCGGCAGAGTTGGAGAAGCCGTTCATGTACTGCCAGCTACTGACGCGGAACATGTCACGGACGATCTGGTCCTCCTGTTCGCCAGCCTGAGTGTCGTTATCGGCGGGGTAGAGAGCCCAGAAACGGGGTGCGAAGTCACCGTAGCTGGAGTTCAGACTAGACTTGTATGCCGCGACGGTGGTGCTAACAGTGGCGGAGGCTCCATCCTCGTTGGCGTTGTTTCCTGTAATGTAGGGGACCTTGTTGCCGGCACCCTTCTCAAGAGTGTTGATGTACTTGGACGGGATGGCGTAGTAGTCGAGAACAGGCTTCACCTCCAGACTGTAGGTGCTGGTTGAATCAAGCAGGGTGGTAGTGTCAATGGCGCGGGCTTCGGCAATGGAGCTGACGTTAAGGGAGGAAATTATCTCCTCACCGATGGTCTCGGCATCGTCCAAGGTAGTGTAGGCGCACTCGAAGACACCAGTGTTTGGGTCATTGGGAGAGCGAACACCGGACTCAGAGATAGCGTTGACGATACCCAGATCAGCAGTCAACTCGCTGTTCACAATGTGGTAGGTGGCCGCAGCGCCGAACGACTGGCCGATCACGGAAATATGATCCGGGTCACCGCCGAAGGCCGCAATGTTCTCGTGGACCCATTTGACCGCTGCATACTGGTCAAGGACACCCCAGTTGCCTGAGGCGTTGCGGCCGTTGGTCTCAGTCAGCTCTGGGTGCGCCATGAAGCCAAACACACCGTTGCGGTAGTTGTAGGAGACGAAGATGATCCCCTTGTCAGCCACACCTGCACCGTTGTAGGTGGTTTGCGGGGGTGCCGTTCCGGCGCCATAGCTCCAGATGGCCACAGGAAGCTTCTCGTCAGGCGAGGTTGCAGGGGTCCAGATGTTGAGGTTGAGGCAATCTTCACTCTGGGCGTAATCCGCCAGGATAGAGAGAGTGATAGGGCAGATGGCGCCGAATTCAGTTGCATTGAAAGTGCCGTTCCAGGGCTCAGCAGGCTGGGGATCACGCCAACGGTTTGCGCCCGAAGTATCAGCACCGAAAGGAATACCTCCAAAGAAAGAGATGTTCTCCCAGTTGGAAATGTACTCGGACACGCTGGAGTTGATAGCAGCCTTTCCCTGCACGTAGCCGTAACCGGGGATGTTGACGGGTTTCTTATACAAGGGCTCGGCCGCGACAGCAACGCCATTCGCCAATGCGGGCGCGAGCACTAAAGTTGCAAGCTTGGTAAGCATGTTGGAAATAAAAGTGGGAAGTAGAAAAGGGATGTTCTGATGATGGATGGATATGGCTGAAGCAGCGCGATTCGCTTGCTATTTATTTATCTACAAAGTCGAACCTGGAACCATTTATTCTTCTAGGTCTGTCTAAGGAGGCGTCACCTGTATTAAGCCAGGTTTCAAATTTAGCAAGTCTACGACATCAATTGCGTGAACTTTGCGCGCGATATATGGCTCGTTGTGTAAAAAACCAATTTAGATGGGTGGAAACTCCTCCTGCATGCCCTGGCTTGTATCCGTTGCCAGCAGCATCAGGGCTTCTGAGGAAACTCAAGTCTGAGGTTACGTACTCTTGCTCCACAAGCAGTCAACAGGTACCACGCCGAACATGAACTTAGTAGTGAGTTAAAATTGGACCCTCATTCCTGTAGGGGCTAAAAGTCGGACATCGGAGGTTATTTTAAGGTCCGAGATACGGGTCCGCTTAACTCTAAAACGTCTCGGGCCTGCTAGGACCGTCGCTGTCCGACATCGCTAATATCGACTTCACACAACACATTCAGCCCTTCTTGAGCAACTTATGTTCTATACGGAACATCTATTCCCTTCTAAATCCCAGACATACTACGTGATAGTGTTTCATGTATCATAGGACGCAATAGAGAGTTGCTTCTTATATAGTATATTTGAGTTCCCGACACCAGTTTGTTCCATTCTAAAGATCCACGTAGGTTTGACTTCGGATACAACTACTGTTTAGAGATACCAGCCCGGAGCGACTTAAGGCGGAATAAGATTAAAGATTACAATGAAGCAGCCAGGCAAGTACAATGAGACATTCTCTTATAACATGTGAGGCCATCAGGGGGAGAGGTCGTGCTCGTGGATTGTCGGAAGATACCTTACCCGCATCGAGGCTATGCGCTTCCTTCATCTCGGAGCACTAATTTATCTGGCATGCCTTTGATATGACTAGGTCAGCTTCTGGGCCATACGCTCTCCTTTACTGGCTTACTGGTCTAGCATATCTTGCAAGTAGTGCCTAGAGACAGCTCAGCGCTCCTCGTATCATTGCTAGAGGTTCGCGGCTTGGAAACTGCCATTATTATAGCCATCGAGCTGAATTATAGCCATCGAGACTCTATTGCAAGTATTTGCTTCGAATTAGCAACATTCAGTTACGCTTTATATCAGTCAAGTAGTGGCGTCCCACGTCAGGCATTCTAAGCTTTTTGCTAGTCATGCAACTATGACTTATAAACTATAGTGGATACTGCTAGGCTGAGGTTACGACAACAATATCCCGGCCTTCGATTTATATAGTCACTATACTCCTCCTGATCGTTATTACGCAGCTTACGGGCATTTTCTCGGGGTGTCTATAGGCTACGTATAAACTTTGTACATATAATACGTGAATTGGCATTTTTTTGCTTTTCTCAAATTGGTAATATGCCGAACGACCTGAATGCCATCTTTGACGATAGTTTTTCTTTCCAGTCTTCACCGCATTATAGTATCACATATCCCGTTATTCGCATGTCCAGCTGCAAAGTATCCGCGCAGAGTTTCCCTCGGTAATATAGAATAGTGATGACCCAATCTCCAACTGTCTCCCAACTGCATCCTCCCCAAGTTTGACTATGTCGCCACCTGTCGCGGATGACCGGCGATGATGTCCCAATATGATCAGAAGCCCAAAGCGAAGCACGATAGTGCTGATGGCTCATTCTTGGCATTACATATGAACTTCATCAGGTCAATCGTTACATGATGACATTAAAGAGCAGCCGATAAAGTGGTTCCTCTCTCTGTCTCTCTCTTTCGCGATGATCTCGCATTTTCCTTCCAATTAACGCTTGAGGGTTGCCCATTGTCAGAGCCCCTTCAATGATTTATTGGGTATGGTCTTCTTGTGGGTCATAAATCGAACGTGATTGGTAAATCAATAGAAAGGTGCCTCAAAATGGAGATTCAGAGGTCCCCATGAGTCTTAGACTTGTTCTATTTTACCTTTGCATACCTCTTATTCTGGTGCTATGGAATTGGTGGGAAGAGAACAAAATGTGTGGTTCGGCACTATGCCGATGGTGTTATGCATTACAGTTAATTGTTCAATAACCGATAAGTCAGTTATTCGCAACCTATTTATGAAAAGTATTACCGCAATTGCAAATTGATTATGTGTCGGTAGAACCTTCCTAGGAAAATTTTCGGTGCTCCTTTTCCCTCAGCTCCGCAAGTAGCTACAGAAATCTCGGGGGCCATAGCCGAGGGAAAGCTTGAGGATCAGCCGAGAGCCGAACAATAATACGACCATATTTCCCCAACACGTGGGGACCGGCTGTCTAAGCTTAAACTGTGACAAATTCAGTGTTTATTCACAGGCATTATGTAGCCTAAATCGGCTATAAGCGTTTCGTATACGATCTGCATCTTCTCCAATTTGGGGACCAAACTTTACAACTGTACCTGCCGTATATGGCCCCCGAATGATATGACTTTCCAACAAAATTCCTATCTTTGAAGATAATTCTATTACCCTTGTAGTCAAGTTCTTGCATTTCCATGCCGAGCATGGATTCCTTGCTCATAGTACGTCTACTATAGCGGCACGGGTCAGGTGGAGAGTGGCAATGATGACGCCGCACTTCTCGAACCCCGCCTTTGCATCGGTTCCATTGCTGTTCTATCCACGTCCTAGTATCCTCTGGTAGTTCTACGCATTTTAGGGATAGCCGATTTGTCTTTTCTACACATCAATAGCAATTAGGTATACGGGATAGTTATCATACTGATTGGATCAATATGGCAGCTTCACAATCAGTACTCGAATTGCCACCCTCTACAGAGACCGTCTCGGTTTCTCTCATTGACACGTGTGGTCTCCATTTTCCCTTTAAGATCCTTCAGCATCACTAATCAGGTACACAGTGGTGCTCGTCTGGATCTCCCTGCAGAGCAGTTCATGACCCCCAAAATTCCAGGTTATGACCGGCTGGCGGTGCCATCATATTCGTTTCTGATCACTCACCCCTCCGGCAAGAGACTGTTGTTCGACCTCTCTCTTCGAGAAGACTTTCAGAACCTCGCTCCGCCATTTAGAGAGATCTGCACGGACCCAGAAAGTGGATGGACAGTCTACTCTCCCCGCAGTGTTTCTGACCTTCTCATAGAAAATGGCATTCCATTGGAGGAAATAAATGCTATAATATGGTCTCATTACCATTTTGACCATATTGGTGACCCTTCATTATTCCCCAGTACTACAGACTTGGTCGTGGGGCCGACCTTCACCAGCAGGTTTACACCAGGGTACCCCGAAAAGCCAGATGCACCGGTTAGATCATCCGATTGGAGAGGCCGGTCTCTGCAAGAGATGGACTTTGACCAACACCCTGGGAAGGTAACGATTGGGAGATTCAAAGCAATCGACTGGTTTGGCGATGGGAGCTTCTATCTGCTGCATACACCAGGCCACACTCCAGAACATATGTGCGGCCTCGCGAGAGTACAGTCAGATTCGTTTATTTTGATGGGAGCGGTAGGTCTTCCTTCTTTATGTTCTATCTATGCTATCTTCTGTGTAGTGAAACAGCTAAACTCACTGAACACACCACCAGGACTGTGCTCACCATCCTGGTGAGTTCCGACCCTCCAAGCAGAGCCCTATTCCGGAGATCATTCAACCCTCGCCCTTGCCGTCTCATCCGCAGTATGGGACAGTCTGTCCTGGTCATATATTTTCCCAGCTAGGGTACAAGCCAGGAAGCACCGATACGCCTTTCTTTATACCTGCTCCAGACTATACTCATGATTTTGATGAGTGCTGTCGGTCAGTAAATGGAATAGCGGAATTCGATGCTAGTGAGCAGGTTCTGGTCCTTATTGCTCATGACCACACCATGTTGTCCATCTTCAAGGGCGAGGAGGATGGTGGTATCGGCTGGTTTTTCCCGGGGAAATCATTGGATAAGTGGAGAGAAGCTGGATTAAAGAAGAAGGGGAAGTGGCTATTTTTGGAAGATTTCGAGGTCCCTTCTACTGAGAATTGATATTGATTGACGGCGATTTTCTAAATCGTTATGGAAAGTCGTTATGAAGTAAAACTTGGTCATACTGCTGCTTTGTTAGTATTCAAACGACACAGTACTGATATTTCCAACAATAAATCACTCGTCCAATATAAAAAATTAGCGTAATCGTGCTTCCTGCAAGGTGTAACGGCCGCTTTCAGTGACACTCAAAATCTTCGTAAGTAGTGCATGCAGGCCTATCAACATTAGCCCCCATCAGTATTTGATGAGCCATCTACACTGTGAGAGTCATGATTCCCGTATAAGATAAAACCAATGTTGAAAACATCTAGTTAAGACACAATCTGCTATATTACCGCTGCTCTACTAAGGTATGGGCAATTCTCCGTGAGGGTGCGCGACGCCAAGATGTCTCTAGTCTCGGAAACGTAATAACAAACAACGCCTAGAATTGGAGATTGGAGAAGAGAAACGGAAGACCCTGGAATGTCTGACAAATACGATCCCTAAACTGGTGTAAATTCAGCGTCAAAGTGTTCCGAGATCTCGGACAAGCACACCGATTCTCGGAGGACGATCCACCATGCTTACGAGAAAACTCGGCAAACCGCTTCCGAGTCCGAGGCAGGCACAAAATATTTGCCAAATCTGGAATTTGGAGCAATACCACTTACGTCACAGCCGGTGAAATCATATCGGTGGAGCATAAGTTTCACCGATCAATTTAACTTCGTTCATATCCCTGCCCTACCTACCATCCATACATACATAGCTTTGACATTGCATCTCATTTTCAAGATAACTATTAGCCATGTCGAACCTGAATTTCTCCTGCGCCCTCGTCACCGGCGGCGGAGGCGGCCTCGGCAAAGCCATCGCGTCTTATCTCCTCGAACAGGGCAAGAAAGTCATAATTGCCGGTCGAACCGAGAGCACACTACGCGAAACAGCGAAGGAGATCGGGGCGACAGATTACTTCGTCCTGGACACGGGAGTCACCTCTCAAATACCGACGTTCATCGATTCCCTGATCAAAAAGCACCCCGATCTCGACTGTCTAATCAACAATGCCGGCGTTCAGCGGCCTCTGCAAGTCCTAAAAGATGATCCATCTGAGTTCCTCTCCAAAGCCGACCAGGAGATCGACATCAACATCCGAGGACCCATGCACTTGACTCTGGGGCTGTTGGAGCATTTCAAGAGTAAAGAAAGCGCTATGATCATGAACGTCTCTTCCATTCTGGCATTTGTTCCATTCTCGGTGGTTAATCCTGTGTATAATGGCACGAAGGCGTGGTTGCATTTCTGGTCGATGAATCTGCGGTCGCAGTTGGCGAGCGGCGGGTTTGATAAGATTAAGGTGGTTGAGGTTGCGCCGCCGTCGGTGGGGACGGATTTACATCGCGACCGGGAGGATCCCGATGATAATAAGAAGCATAAGAATCCTAATGCGCTCACGGTGGAGGAGTTTATGGAGTTCTTCAAGGAGGGATTGGAGCGTGGGGATGCGGTTATTGCTCCCGGTATGAGTCGGGAGTTTGTGGATAAGTGGGAACAGGAGTTTGGGTCCGCTTATGTTAAGCTTACGGGGGGTAAGTAGGTAGATGTGTGGCTGGTTATGAGCTTATAGATTTCGTCTGTAGTCCGGTATGTAAGTATTAGTTAGAACAAATGATTTATCTGACTTTATAATGCAAAGGGTTGTTCAGGTAAACAGGCTTCCAAAGAGTGAACCACCACATATCAAATATAATGCCTTTATAAAGAGGAAACTCCGAGATCGCTCGCCTGTTAGTGCATCTTAAGTTATGAATGAGTCAACTGTAATGTACTAGTTAATTCAAAATTCCCAGGTCGACATGTTATTGCGTGTTCCATTTGGCCCCTTCCATGCCAGATGCCACGATAAATAGTTGGCATCACGCCAAGTTGAATCCGCGTCCTCCTCTGGAGCACAGTGCCTCTCCCAATCGATTATATAACTGAGATATTCGCGAAGTCAGTATTGTCCCGAAGTGTCGGGTACCACTGCCCTAACGGTCGTCACACCACATGTAAGACTTACCACTTTTTCATTGCCGCATCCCACCGAAGATTCTTTGCTCCACGGTCGAGATTTGTTATCCCATAAGAGATGCATTCGCTGTGGTAATAGTTGAGTTAGGTTGAGTCCTCGCAAAGGGGCATTTCAGGTGACCTACAACCATGATTTCTTGAAAGCTGCCCTCAGCTCATCCGGCTCACCTATATCCATATCATCAATAACAGAGCATACATCGACACCCGGTACCATCTCCATTACAATGAAATGTATATAACCACCAGGGATCCATTGATCTTGAGACTGTTCGCGATTCAGTCAATCAATCAGAGCTGGGGTGCTGGAGCATCCTGCTTCTGTTAGGAGACGTAGCGCTTCAACTTCATCTTCGCCCCTTGTTGAGGGCTCCGAAACTGCCTGTTGGGCCCGGATAGACGGCCTTTTAGTGGCACTTCCCCACCATGGTACCCTATACTTTCTGTCAGTTCAGTCGTCTACTCCCCACAGAACACACTATCTAGAGGACGTACTGCATATGAATCTTAAGTACTGCGGTTGGCGGAGCTTGCCCAGCAACTTTTGACGCAACAAAAACCGCACGAGCCTCGGAAACAATACCACCCTCTTCATGGTCTTGTTGTGAATAGAGGTCTTCGCACTCCCTAACTTTCGTCGTGATTTCCCAACGGGTACCCCCCGGGAAAGAAATCTCTAAGCCCGGCCAATCATCATCATCAAACCAAATGATGTTGGAGGGGATTATCATGATGAGTCAAATCTAATATTTTGGGACGGGTGGTATTCAGTGCCTTTGCAGGCTGCCAGATTGTGTAATTGAGCGATTCGCAGAGTACTTAAAGTCTATGGCTTCGTGTTGTGAGGGCGAAAAGCGGGGGAAGGCGCTTGCAGCCCAGCAAGGCTTCACGTGGCCATGGACTAAGTTTGGGACTACTGAGTTAAAATACGCACTACTAGGGCATAGGTTGCTTTGGGTGGAGAGCAAATGCCAGTTAGACAGATGGTCATTGGGCCGGTACCTGATGAAGGGCGTCGATATCATTATCGAATGCTAATCCGGTTCGCACATCCTAGCCAGGTTTCAGCCGGAAAATTCGGATCCATACCACATGACTTCGTACCGAGAAACAAGTTTATGAAAGATTATTCTAGATTTGCCAAGCATAGCATTTGAGGCAAATAGCTACGTGCTGTGAGGAAGGCACAATGAGTGATAATATAACGGATTGAAGAGAGAAGGGTGATAATGTCATTGGGTATCAGTCATGCTTTCACAAATGCGACTTATAATATCCAATTCGACATATCATCATAGTCATCGTCATCTCCAACTCGTGCAAGGTGCCATCCTAAATATCGCATATCTCGCCAAATTCTTGATTTGCGAGTCGGGGGATGAAACATCTCGAAATCGATCAAATAACTAGATAAAGTAAATTATAAGCACTCGATTGGCAATCATCGGGTAATAGTGAAGGTTTCTGATCATGTTATGAGTAGAAAGAGGTATTGCTGACCACTTCTGCCTTTCTCTATCCCAGATAAGATTCTGTGAGCCAGAGTCCCCGTGTTCCACTCCGTAGGACACGCATTCACTGAATATGAGAACGGAACCGGATCAACTTCCTTGAACTGCATGGTTTCTCGAGGAGAACCTACATCCAGGCCTTTTTTAATGCTTCTCGCAGCTCATCGCGCTCCTTGCGCTCCATAAGACGATAATGGTCACACACGGTTACACCCGGGAGCATCTCCATCACGATATAATGAATATAGCCCCCAGGCACCCATCTATCTGTCTGCTGTCGATTATTGAGTCAATCAAATATGGAGAGCTTGAGCATTTTGCTTGAGTCAGGATAGTGAGTGCTTCTATCTCGTTACTAGCTAGGCGGGGAATTTCAGGGTCTGCCTGCTTGGCGCGTTCCGAGGGTCCCTGGGTAGCAGTCTTGTATAACGGAATTATGCATTCTGTAAATAGTTTACAGCCATCTATGCACAGTAAGCAGGGCAGACGTACTGCATATGAATCTTGATAAGGGCTGTGGGTGGACCGTTTCCAGCAACTTTGCTGCATTCAAACGTAGCTCGTGCCTGTGACGTACAATCCAACTCCTCATAGTCATCTTGAGTGTGCAGGACTTCGGCTTCCCTGATCTTTCTCTCTATTTTCCAGGTAGACCCGCCCGGGAACGCAACTTCTAGACCTATGTAGTCATTGTCTTCAAACCAAGTGATATATGAACGAAGTATCATAGCCGCTGTCGAGCTTTGAGGGGGAAGTGTAATGCGAGGAATAAACAATAGACAGTTTTCTGGTGGTGTGCGATGGAAGAAACAAACGTCTCCAAAAATAAGAAAAAGTTCTCCGGTCAAAGGAAATAGCGGTAAGGAAGAAGGACAAAGATATAGACTATAAGCCTCGGTCAGCTGATCACGACCGATGCCGCTGTTGATATGCACCTAAATGGTGTTGTGGGAGGTATCTGCACCAATTTGCAGGGTTCTATGTTGAGGCAGAGAGAGGTACCGCTCAGACTGTACTTAGGTTGTTTTACCAACATACGCAAAGCAGTGGGGCTGTTCAGGCAGCAGCTGGCCGTCACGAGTAAGGGGTATCTGTTGTTGCCTGGCAGCTGGCTCAATAGATCGGAATAGGCAATAACAACCCTACGGCGATCGACTTACAGGCCACACAAGGGTCTATCTATGCAGCTCTTATCAGCATATATTCCACGATTTCTAGTTATTCTAAACGCGCTGACTTTCAGTGTCCATGTCATGAGATACGAGCAGTAAATTAAGGTTGAAGAGAATGACCACCAATTTTACTATCCCATTCAGCACCAACCACCTGTTGATGTAGATATTGGCTATTTCCCAGCCTCCAATCTATGTGTCTTGTTCTTGATTTATAGTTTCAAAAACGCGCATCTTGTTCATACACCCAGCATGTTAGCTCAGGGGAAGAGCGCCGGGCTCATAACCCGGAGGTCCCTGGATCGAAACCAGGACATGCTATCTCATTTCTTTTTATTTTTTTCCCTTTCCCTGGCGCTTTACCTTTCGCCAAGCTTTAATCGTATTTTATTTGCAACTTTCTAGGAAAACTTGTTTTGTCTTCTTCTCTAGCTACAATGTTCGAAGTCCTTTGTCGGTCGCAATCAAATTTCTACCCACAAAGTGAATGGAACAGAATAACACCTCATCAGGCGAGTGACGACACATTGATCCCCAGCCTATGGCGCTCTACTGCACTAGAATAAGTTAGATCCTTAGGAATTTTGAAGCAACAATAGTGTTTCAAATCCCACAGATAAGTTCTCTTACAGGCTATTGAATGAGGGTGCTTCGGTTAATCTTCTGTCTACCGTCGAATTACTACTCTGATGTACCTAGTTGGGTGTATTAGCAGTATAGGTGCTATATGAGTTGTCTAGGCATGGATGTATGGGTGGTTGCTGGTGATTTATCTGGTTGGATATTTCGACTGCAACAACGGGATCGATCCGGTTGGTTTAAGAGTAGTATATCGGCGTCGAGTCGTCGCGTAGTATATTCGATGAGATGTATCCATTCCTGCATCCATAAAACTAGCCGATAATTCATTCTATGAATAATTGGGGCGCTGAGAATAGATTTGACTTGTTCCATCAAGTAGACTGTGCTTCAAGCTAGAGACGGCATATGACATTGCAGATTATTCCTAACACTATTATGACCTGCATCCTAGAGCTTCCACAATCCTCACAAGACAAAACCATTCTCTGCCATAGCCCAGTAATCATTGTCGAGCAGATTTCTGATATCTGAGTACGCACAAGCCCACAGAAACATGATTGCCGCTGATCGATTCAGTAGATGAAGCCCGCCTCATCAACCCATCTGTCACAGTACATCTCAGACAGTGATACACTTGACGCGAATGTCCATGTTCAGTCCTTCAAATTTCGACTCTTCCGACATGGTATGAAGAATGGTGGAAAAGGTAGTGGATCTCTGTTCTGCGGTGGTCTCCTCAGTGGCACTCAACTAACACATCCATGCTGTCAGACTTCAATGTTCTCATGAGGAAACGGGTGTGTAACTAACGAGGAATTCCAGAGAATAGCAGCCTTCTCCGGAATTATCTTTGAGCTTGAGCTCAACGGCGAGAGCCTTGGGAAGCTTATGGTATCTTTCTTCCATCTTAGTGAGGACACCCATGTAGAATTCTTTCAGAGTGTCGATGGAGATGGGGACAGTGCCAAACTCTGTCTTGGTGTTAGTATGATCGTGCGTTCGGTGGAGGTTATGGTACATACGGCCTGTCTCTTCGTGGTGTTCTTCCCTACTAGTCATTTTGGAGTAGAGAGGGGTATTATTGGTGATAGGATTGTTGTGGGTCTGACGTATGAGGTGAAAAGTGTAGAGAGGTGATGGAGTTGTGGTGGATGGGATTGACGAGGAGTTTTGGGATGAGGGAGGAGTAAACAAGGATTACTAGTTGGGCTAGTGGCCAAAAGGTGAAAGTGAATACAGCAAAGTTCCAGGCTCGAAAATCAAGGCCTATTGAACTTTTCTTGTCGGGTCCCTCCGTTTGTGTGACTGATACTTGCTGTATTGGAAACATGATACGATGCGACGGGTTGCCTTCTTAATCATTAGTGGTTACAAACGGCCTCTGACCAAGGAGAAGTCAGCTACTTAAGCATTTCTAGCCATACCTGTGCTTTTTCGAGGAGGGATATGATTCACCGACTTACAATGAGATACAGTAGGCTTAAAGCCGAGATAATGCCTATGCTAAGCTTTGTGGATTCCAGGTCTACCGGTTTTGTGCGGGGGAAGGTGCTTGCCAATGGTAACCTGTAATCTCTGATTAGATATTGGCTGTTTTCTAAGCTTGGAGTTTTCATGAAGAAAGGCATGGTTCTCGTGGAGCTCACTACGGCATGCTTAATGTAGGGAGATGCATGGAAGACCATTCATATTTACTCGCGACATGAGTGGCAGCGAACCGTCATAGGTCGCATGGCTGGGCGAGGTATCCATTCTTGCTTGTTGCTGTTCAGCAGACACAAAAAAATAGATTAAAAGATTCTATAGTAAGGGTGCCAGCGACTAGCTCTGGGAAGGTTGGCAGGACCATTAGTTCTGATCGTGAGTCTGGTGGAGTGACATAACAGTAATTCTACTAAGTAGTATAGTACTGCGACTGCCCATTATATATTTGGACAGAACGAGTAGCACCGTCATGCCGACGACACTACTAATGTCGATCTCGACCCAACATAATCTTCATTACGACATGCCTAGTAGAAACAAAACCAAACACCGAGCTGTGAAGAACATAGACTTATATTATTCTGAATAGCAAGTATACCACTGCCACACATTAATGTGTGTATAGTGAGAAATTCCGAACTCTTCACATTTCGAGCAGGTCATATGCTGCTTTGAACTATAATGCAAAAGCTTAACTCCATTAGCATCAAAAGCGGCCGGGTGGCGCAATGGTAGCGCGCTGCCTTCCGGTAGTGGATGTGGCAGTGGTTGCGTGTTCGAGTCACGTCTCGGTCGTTCTTTTTGGTTTTGGTTATTTCTCTTATAGCACTTATAGACACTACTTCCTCATTTCCCCAATAGTGCTTTCTACGTAATTTTTTTTTTCCTTCTTTACTTTTCGGCTACCTTTCCATCGATCCGAGTCAAAAGATCGTTCTGTGCTGTTACATAAATCCTTTAATATAGTCAGCCAGGCCGACGCGTATGTTTATCCACAAGATATGTTGTACGTGTAACGCTGATAAGGAAGATGCAAGTCGAGGTCGGCAGTGTTTCCTAGAGATGCAATAAATATACAAACGAATCAAAGTGTACCGAGCATGCTTTCTCAGAACAACGGTGCAAGCCACCCAAATGCCCTCAATGCTGCCACAATTTGGTGGCAGAACAATTGGGTGCCAGGTCTCAGTAGGAACTCTGCGATAGAGATTGTACCAGCTATAAGGGTTGTCGAGGTCACCGCTGATAGCAGATAATCTCCTCTTTTGTTCTTTTCTTCCCTCGCCTGCCAATCTTTCTCTCAATTATCGTGTCTCTTCAGTTATTTATTGTTTTCGAGTGTCTTCACTTGGTTGTCATCATACCGAAGTAACTTATCTTTGTGACTGCCTTCCCCATTTTATAGCGTTTTCACTGCAGCCTTTCTTTTCATGTATGTACAGTCTGCTCTTTTTTTGTCCCTGATCCCTTTTCCTCTTGACTACTCCCGCACACTCACCTTCCCCCCCAAAGGCTATCATGAATTTAGCTTATGATATCTGTTTCCCTTGGCCTTGAGGCTTCTGGGGGTCGCCGCGTGTTTATCAGAACTTCCACTGGGCTTCTGCCTTGTTCCGACCAATTCCTCGCGTTGGGCTTTATCCTGATGTACTCACGAAACACAGCATGGGAGACACCTGGTGCAAAGTAAGGAGCTAAGTTGATGCCACTGGGTTGACGTGGGGCTGTTCCTTCAATCATATACTCTGAATAACCCGGCTAGACAACTAGGGCCACCTGGCCTATCGTCGCGTGGGAAGGCAGAGCATGAGAAGCTCATCGCTCGCTTATACACTTCTAAGGGAAAGACTTTGCGGCTTATAGTGGATACAGAGACTAATGCCAACTGAAATGATGAAGTATTTGAGCTGAAGATTACTGGGGTGGGATAACAGTGATGGTCATTAGCGAACTCTTCCGGATTCCGACAGCATTGGGGGTTTTGAAGGAGACAACATAAAATCTTTGAGAAAACAATAATATGGCAAAGTGAATGCGATCAATGGCATAGGTGGAAGTCGCGTACAGGAGATGGCTGGTGTTACCAGTGGTTTTGCCGATCAGACCCTTCCGGGATTTGGAGACACTGGGCGCTTGATAGACGATGTTGTTGGAAATTACGGGGATACCAAAGAACAGGTCATAAGGCTCTAGAAGATTTAAACAAGCACATACGACCATAGGGTGTGGAAAACAGGGCTTCCCGTCCGCTCAGCCGTACTTAAGCCACACGCCGGGAGGTTAGTAGTTGGGTGGGTGACCACCAGCGAATCCCTTCTGTTGTATGTTTTTGCTTCATTTTTGTTTGTACAGTCAGTAATGGAGTAATACCTGTCCACGGAGAAGAAAGAAAATGGCCAGGATAGAATAGGCCTGACAGAATTAATATGTCTTCTAAAATAGATGCTTTTAGAAAGTCAGTGATTAGAGCCTGTGTATAAATCAAGACGCGCGCCCTGATACATCCGTCAAGTCTGGTGAGAGTATAAAAGAATACAGGTATACTAGATGACTTACAGGGGACTGTAGTCTCCAGCTTTCCCCGCCACCACCGCACGTCAGTGTGCCGTGTCATTGAGCCCTAATTAAGTAGAATTATAGATGCGTTGTTTGGGAGACGGCAAAAGATGCCACAGATGCGAGGCGATAGGATTGGAGTGTATCTATACCGAGAGTCACGGGCGAAACAAGCGACAGGACACCACCAAAGGCTCGCGGGCAGTACGTAACCGAACAGCTTGATGTACTGTACTTGAACTACAGGAGTCGCTAATGCACTACATCGGACCAGGCCATTCGACGTAACAACAGCGTCTCCATTCGGACTGTATTCGATGAAGCAGACAACCAGGGAAAATCCAGCCAAGACCTATCATTGGATGATTTGGACTGCAATAAGTTCAACGATGGCTGTATCGACGAGTCGCTGTTTATGCCATGGATCATGAATACTCCCATACAGCAAAGCTCACCTGGTAGATCCAGATCAAGCAGTGGCGGCATTCAAACCCGTGAGCCCTTTGGTTTCTGTTTGCTCTAGGCATCCTTGGCTGACATAGACGATAGCTGTCGCTGACCTGGCAGTAACGAGGCCTCCCTTTTCAGCAAGAAGGCGCAGTGCTACAGAGGCGGTGCAGGACCAGCTCCCAGGAATTCCAACGGCCAATCCCTCGTTTGCGTCGCTACTCGGGCCGTCTAATAGCAGCAGCACAGGCGATGCCGAATGTTGGCAAGATGTTTACCTGAGTCAAGACGATATTGTTTGGATGACGACTACCGATGTACATGCGACGGTGGGCTCGATATCCAAAACGCTGCCTGTTGAACCCTTGGGCGAGACACGTACAGAGTCCGACAACTGTTGTCTGTTAAGTTCCGTCTCCTTTCTCGAACGGCTGTCGTCCAAAGGCTCTTCGCGCGAGGACTGCCTTGACCTGCTCCTCGCTGACCTGCGCAACTCCATTGAGACTCTGGCCGTATTCATCTCATGCGACAGATGTGCGACTCGAGTAGAGCAGAACATGCTGCTTGCCATGGCGGCTAGACAAATCGGGGTCATCTGCGGCAGGATGGCCAACTGTTGCAAGGCGATACATCAGGGTAGTCTGAGCGAAACAGGCTCCTCGCAGCGGGGAAGTGAGCCTGTCCCCTGTCCGATTCCGGTTAATGTTTCGGTTGCCACGTATTGCGTCAACCGACGTGAGAAGCTGCACCTGCTCGGCAGCCTTGTGGCGTTGCAAATAATGGATTTCCAAAGGCAAATCAATATAATCAAGTCTCAACAATATCGCAATCGGCCAAATAAAGGGCAAGTAGAGGCCCTCAGTGAGGCAGAGAATCATGTCAAGTTGGCGCAGGTTTCGCTCAGCAGTGATTCATGACACGGTTAGATAGCGAAGGTAGAGGGAGGTGACGCACGAACTCATGCTACCCTACGCAGTCTTCCACGACCGATCTAGCCCTCTAGTGTTTCCCTCATTCGTCTGACGGAGGGAACAGCCAAGCCTTGTCGTAGTGAGCTTGTTTAGCCTCCCGCCGCGGCGTCAGAATCTGGGCTAACGAATCGACGAGTTGTGAATAAGCATAGACCTACGGGTGTGCAACTATTTCATGCATCAATTAGAGGTGTCTTGCGCTTTGTAGAGCCGACACAAGGAGCAAACCAACAACCATTCCCAGACGTGGAAAGGTACCAGCGATGACTTACAATACAGATGTAGTAGGCATAGTTTATCGCATGGAGCCCTGAATAGACTGAGAAATGGCGCATCCATTCACCAGAGAGATCGGTTGAGAACGGGCTGGTGGTGATCCTGTTCCGGTAACCCGCTGGTAACATCGGGGGATCCCGCAGCAGACGCCAATTGACCCCTCCCAGCCACATGCAAGTCCAATGGGTGCCGAGATCAAGTGAAGGGGTACTTTTCCTCCTAAGCTGGACGACGGTAGAAGATACTCTGCACATTCTGAGATACATCCGACGGTAATTTTCATCCTGTGCCAACTCGAAGAAACCCTAGTCAAGATGTCTCGACCTGGCACTCCCTCGATGCTATTTTTCGACGTCTTGGGCACAGTCGTTGAATGGAGATTCTGCATTGCGAACCAGCTGAAGGCTGCAGCAGAAAGGGCCCTGCAAGACCAGGCTCGCGAGATTGCTGTGGATGTGCGAGGTCGTGTCTCCAACCTAGCGCCCTCGACATGGAATGAAATCACAGACGAGTGGCACCGCTCGTATATGAACTTCGGACGCACCTTTGATCCATCCAAGCCCTTTGTCCCTGTAGACGAGCACAACCGCGTCTCTCTGGGCAATATCTTCACCGACAGGCGTCTGCGGGATCTTTTCAATGACGACGATCTCCAACATTTGACCCTCTGTTGGCATCGCCTCGATCCCTACGCGGACAGTGTTCAAGGCCTTGCGCTGCTCAACACCAAGTTTCCGACTTCCACGCTGTCCAACGGTAATGTCAAACTTCTCGAAGATCTAGTGGAGCACGGTTCTTTGCCTTTCAAGCATATAAGCAGTGCAGAGCACTTCAATGCTTACAAGCCAGCGCCAGAAGTCTATCATGCCGCTGCGCGCAGGTTCGGGTTAGAGACCTCGCAGTGTTGCCTTGTCGCTGCCCATCTTCACGACCTGCAAGCCGCCAAAAAGTGCGGGTTCCAGACAATTTATATCGAGCGACCTTTGGAAGAAGCTTGGGATGCAGAACGCGTTGCCCAAGCTAAAGAAGAGGGATTCGTTGATTACTGGATCGGCATCGAGGGATCAGGTCTTTTGGACGTTGCTCGGTATTTTGGCATAGAGACAGACGCGTAGGTCCATGTCTTCGCCTACAATACACCCTTTGTGCGCTAGTTAGAATCATAGTTGTCTTCTAGTTTTATCGCCGCTCTTCCGCGCAGTAGAGAGTCTGGATATCAAACCAGTACGGCAATCTATTCTTGTCCCTCCGCTTGCCGTTGTCATGCACGAGACTAGACCTTCATAACTATGTTAGGTCAACACGCCTAGCCATGGTAGCATCTTGGACTTGCAAGACGATCTCCAAGAAGGTGGTCAGTATGAGGTCCTCGTCTCCATAATTGCCGGCGAAATTTGCTTGTCGTAAATTGGTTATCCCACAAAGCTACTAGTGCTGACGTATCGTGCTCTCACAGGACTGGAAGTCAATATGTGGCGCTATTAATCACTCTGTATTTTGCCGATATACTTTTCTTTATCAAACAAACCTTGCCTGTGCGACGCGTCCTGAGCGCATCAGTAATTCAATGAGAGTCAATATTCCGGTAAATGTTATCCAATGAAGACCGAGTGCTTTTTCGGCAGCAAGATGATATGCTAATGAGAAAGATGCTTTAGGGGAATATCAAAACCGGAAAAGACATACAACAAGCAAAAAGTGTTGAGGCATTTTGACCGTTGCATGGCATCACCTGAATCTCTGCCAACTGGCACTGTCTTTCTGGTGCCATCAAAGTTGATCTAGATGTCTTGTATGGTGCAATGTTGCCGTAGAAGATCCCGTTGGATTGGTGGGAAAATGCGGCTCTTCAAGATGAACGATGATTCCCACTAGAAAGGTATCTTTATCATTTATACTTTACTTAGAGATCAGACCCCTCATCGGGGCAGCTTAGATACATGAATGCTTTCTTTGGATCAAGAACTATATCTTCTGTCTATCCGATGCTTGGTTGGTATGCTATTGAGTTCCGGGTGGTGCGGTCCTGCTATTATCGCTATACAATCATTATGCAAATGAGTATATATATTTCAATCCATACAGATATCATTCCTAATGGTCAGGTACTGAGTCATACTAAACAGCCGCAGCCGCAATCGCAGCCGCACGACGCTCGGACCGCCATGCGTGAAGGCCTTCGCTTTCGGCGTTTGGCCCAATGACAACTCACGTCACCTGAAACCCTGCCTGGTGGCGGGCCTTTTATTGCGTCGGGTCACATCAACTTGGAGGGGTTTCTTCCTCCATCCACCCATCACCCCGTCCCAAGTCTTCGCCATGGCTGAGCTCACAACCCGTAATGGCGATCCCTTTGACCGTACACTCTTTGAGTCGCTATTAAAGCGCCGACTTTTCTATACAGAATCTTTCGAAATCTATCGAACCTCCGGAAATCTTAAAGGCGATAGCAGGGGTCTCTACGATTATGGACCTCCCGGATGTGCGCTCCAGTCGAACATTGTGGACTTATGGCGGAAGCACTTCGTCCTTCAGGAGGATATGCTAGAACTTGATTGCACTATTCTCACGCCGGAGGAGGTCTTCAAGACAAGTGGTCATGTTGATAAGTTCGAGGACTGGATGTGCAAAGATTTGAAAAAGGGGGACTTCCTACGTGCCGACCACCTCATCGAGGCTGTCCTTGAGGCAAGACTAAAGGGAGATAAAGCAGCTAGAGGAATTGCTGGTGAAAGTGATAAGGCCGATGGGGCAGGCAAAAAGAAAAAGAAAGGTCCCAAAGTGAGCGACATCAGAGCGATGAAGCTGGAGGACTCTGTTGTGTCAGAATACGAGGAGGTCCTCGCCAAGGTATGAATTATTGACGGCTCTACCATTCCTTCCTACAACTTATGGTGGGTTTTTAGATTGATAACTACGATGGACCAGAACTCGGTGCGTTAATCGAGAAGTACGACATTCAAAACCCAGATGGAGATACACCGGTATCGCAACCGGTACCCTTCAACCTGATGTTCAAAACAACAGTGGGACCTAGCAGTGCTTCGCCGGGATATCTCCGCCCAGAGACAGCCCAAGGCCAGTTCCTCAACTTCAAGAAACTCCTGGACTACAGCCAGAACTCGATGCCATTTGCGTCTGCTTCTATCGGAAAGTCATTCCGCAATGAAATTTCCCCTCGTTCTGGCCTACTCCGCGTCAGGGAATTTCTGATGGCTGAGATAGAACATTTCGTCGATCCAGAAGGCGGCAAGAAGCATCCCAAATTCGACTTGATCAAAGATCTACAGCTCAGCTTCCTTGATCGCGCAACCCAGCTTGGCGGTAAGACCAGTCTCAAAAAGACCACTGTCGGAGACGCAGTAGCCAGTAGAATGGTAGACAATGAAACATTGGGATACTTCCTAGGCCGCATCTATCTCTTCCTGCTCAAGATCGGCGTCGATGCGAACAAAGTCCGATTCCGCCAACACATGGCAAACGAGATGGCCCATTATGCCACTGACTGCTGGGACGCCGAGCTCCAGACCACCTATGGCTGGATTGAATGTGTCGGATGTGCGGATCGCAGCGCCTACGATCTGACCGTGCATTCTAAGAAAACTGGAGAGCCACTTGTCGTCCGTGAATCCCGGCGTGAGCCACTGAAAGTTGAAGAGTGGCAAATTGAAATCAACAAGCCCAGGCTGGGACCACTCTTCAAGAAAAATGCTAAGGCTGTTGAAGCGGCGCTCAACTCGCTCTCCCAGTCTGACCGGGAATCCCTAGCTACGACTTTAGAAGGAAATGGTATCGTTTCTGTCACGGTCCCCGAGATGGCAGAGAAGGTTGAAATCTCCAAAGACTTGATTCGTATTGTCAAAAAGACGAGGATTGAAAACATCCGTGAATACATTCCCAATGTTATTGAGCCATCCTTTGGTATCGGCCGTATTTTCTACAGTTTGCTGGAGCATGTTTATTGGCATCGTTCTAACGATCCTGCCCGTGGTGTATGTCACTCCTCCTTCTAACTTCTGCTGGACTATCTTCCTGTCCAGTTTCATCTATATGAACTAATGTGTTATATCAGGTTCTATCCCTTCCCATCTCGGTGGCGCCCACGAAAGTTCTCATTGTCCCTCTCTCCACTCACCAAGACTTTGTTCCCCTAACAAAGAAACTCACTGAGGATCTCCGTGAATTGGGCATATCTTGCCGCGCTGATGAGTCTTCTGCAAGCATTGGAAAGAGGTATGCCCGCAACGATGAATTGGGTATTCCGCTCGGTGTAACGATCGACTTCGATTCTGTGAAGGATGGAACGATTACGCTGCGTGAGCGTGACAGTACCAAGCAAGTCCGCGCCTCTAAAGAGGAAGTTTTCAGTGCTGTTGAGTCTCTTATGAGCGGAAAGGAAAAGTGGGAGGATGTGTTTGCGCGACTTCCTGAGTTTTTGGGTCAGAGTGGTGATGAGTAGGACTCCACATTGCATATACTGCAATTATACATAGCATGAGTCTAGTTCCTTTCGATGCTCTTCCCTGAATCCACACTACCTGGCTGGAAAACCATTTACCTCCTTCTCACCACTCTTCCTACTCTGCAGTACTTCCTATCAACATCAAAAAAACTTCAACAAGATACAAAAAAAAATGAAAAACATACAACAGAAGGGATTCGCTGGTGGTCACCCACCCAACTACTAACCTCCCGGCGTGTGGCTTAAGTACGGCTGAGCGGACGGGAAGCCCTGTTTTCCACACCCTGTGGTCGTATGTGCTTGTCTTCCCGTTGATGTGTCTAATATAACTTAAAGGGACGATTCAAAAAAGGGTTTCTAGTTGTCGCCCACCCTCGATGCTCTTGAGGATGGACGAAATCCTATCTCGAGTATATAAAAGTCATGCAATCCTACTAACATCAATATATTTGATGCACCCTCCTTTGTTTACTCATAGAGGCCGCTGAACACAGTAGGTGATTTGATAAATTAATGAAAATCCAATAATCAAAGGCTCGAGGTCCTGTTCTTCTCGGCCCAAGACAGCGACATTTAACAGGTGTGTCCCCCTTCGTAACGGTCTGAAAGATGCTAATGGAACTGTGTAAATTCCGACCGTATTTGCCGGAGCTTCCCTCCCTCTGTTCGACCTTTTTACTTTATATATGATTCCCGTAGCATCCTTTTCGCAAACAATTTGCCATTATTCATCTTCTCGTCTACATCGAAAAGCGTGGCTCCCAGCTCACGAACTGCTTCTACCAGCCGTGATCATCGTCACCTGCACCGCAGCAAACCTGGTTCCGTTAGTGTACGGCTGGCGAAGAAAAGAATTTGACGGACAAAGGAGAGGAGGTATGAGGGGACAACAAAAAAAAAAAAAAAACTTACGCTGTTGCCGCCGCAAAAATCTCCACGCGCTTCGCCTTGACCATCAACCCCAGAACCAGAACAAACACCATGTTATACACGAAGATAGTGATTAATACTGCCGTCGGATCCTTCAAGTAATACAATATGATTATAGAGGTTGCAGGAAGCAATCCCGAGATAATCAAGCTGAGCCCATACGTCCAAGATTTAATTTTCCGGTCACTGTAGTACCAGACGCCGGATTCGAGATCTTTTCGTTTCTGGATGTAGCATATGTGCATTAGTAGGTAACGTTGGTTATAGTCGAGGTATCGCTCAACGCCAGGGTACAATGACAGGGAGAAATGACCAAGGATAAGAAAAGCATAACATACGGTATCTTTCACCCCCGCCACCCGATGGAACCACGAAACGACTCGCGTATAGACAAACCGGGTGAAACGGTCTGTCTCCTCATGTCGACTGCATAATGCTACCAGGTCGCTCTCATTTTCTCGATCCCATTGGCCCGGAGGCGAAAACAACATGTTTCCGCATTCTTCGTCTTTCAGCCATGCTCGAAACACCTCTAGGTCGGTTTTCTCGGGCTTGTTGAGGTGGAGAAGTTGGTACTGTTGGAGTAGGGCTGCGTCTAGAGCTGAAACCCGTTAATGTAATGTTTGCAGTAGGATAAAATGAAAGTAAGTATTCTGTATACATGATCGGCCGCAGTCTGTGCTTACTAGGCGGGTGACAAAGCCTATGTGTAAGTAGTAAAGGGAGAGGGCTGGAAGCAGAAGACGAAGCATTGACAATAACAGCCTAATAAATGACCTTTACATATAAAGCTAAAGAAACGAAGAACGGGGACGTACTGTACTCATTCAATAACTTGCGTGCTTCGAGGACCTTCTCCCACTGAAACGGGTCCTCTGAAGTCTTGATGTCCCACACAGAGAATGGAAATGATTTCTTATCCTCGGATTTACTGTCCTCCTCAATGATAGTTCGAAGTTCATTCTCGATGTAGGCGACCTCCGCCTGGAGATAGAGCAAGTTCTTTGCATTAAGCTTGGAAAAGCGTCGATAGATGGAGGACCCGGGGTCGCGGGTCATTAGGGCAGCCAGTTTGTCGTAACCTTTGGGAATGGGAGTCGACATATTTGTTGTTGATTTGTACATTTAATGGGAAGAGTGTCAACGTCAACAGAGTACAGAAAGAGAAGGAGATGGACGAGTTAAAACGAGACGCCGATTCTGAACTTATGGCGAGATTTAAAAAGTCACTGATCTTGTACTTAGTGTGGTGCTAGAGAGGCTATGTGTCATGCTGCTTTTGTAGGAGAGCCTGGCCAATTATATATCTGAATGGTCAGTAGAGCATGATCGCCTGCATGATGTCCCGAAATCAATGCGAAGCCTCATGATGTTTGGCACCGATCAGGGTTCCAGCCTTATATTCTGAGTATTGTGGCGTACAGTGGGTAGCCTCTATTCTCCGATTAAACCAGACTAGACATATATATTTACACCGATTCCCAGCCGAAGATTTTCCTGAATTCTAGCCATGGCCCCAATCAGAGCGCGGCTACCCGTAAGACACAACTGCACCGAAACTACCAATAGTATGTTCGCGGGGGCCCATACCAGCGTATAAAGGGCCCATGTTGAATTGACGCATGGAACGAAAGCGAGTGCAAACAAGCTCCACGTCCGTCCGCCCATCCTCAACTAGTTGAGCCTACGGACATCGATACGATTCACGAAGCTTCTTCGCAATAGCGGGGTCCACTCGATACAACTCCTGCTGCCGCATAGAAGGCCTTCCGATGAGAAGATCATATTCGACGCCTTCTACAATGTAGAACGTTGTTCGGTAAGGCTTGCTGCGCCCACAGAAAGACCACTGGACTTCTGCAAGTCCAATTGGTTTGCAATCTCCAAGACCCAAAACTTGGACAGAAGCCCCTGGACAAGGCTCGATGCTCGTTCCAAGTCTCTGATGTGCCTCTTTCGATATAATGTTGGTATCTGCGTGGAAGCTGAGCAACATACATCGACGCAGCTGCTTCTTTCCAGGCGGACCGGCCATGATATCATAGACAAAGTCGCATTGATCCAGCTCCTTTGATAGCTGCGAATTTTGTGATAAAGCAGAGTCTAGTGACTCTGTTAGTTCTGCGCGTCCCTTGGAGAGATCGTCGTTATGAACTGGTGTGTGGTCATTTTGATCGGAACTATACCGCTCTACTATCTGCTCATCATGTTGCAGCTGGCATGGCTCGTCCCGCTGTTGCTCCTAGTGATGTCTCAATACTTGATTTCTTGGTGTGAACTACAACAGGCAGTGATTATTGCAGATCTCACCGTTTTTCTTCTAAAAAAGTTGAAAGATGGCAGAACTGCGGATGCAGTATTGTAAAATAGTCGGCCATAGAAATATATAGACAGGACTATTTTGTTGGATTCAGTAACGTTCGAAGACGGCGAATGTTGCATTGACCGGCAGGGTGCCTTTTGCAGGTCAGATTCGGTGCATAGTCAGTCATTAAAAACTGTGGGGTTCTAATCACTTTTCCATGGTCGTGTGATTGGCCGGGCGTTGGCTTTTCGTCCTCAGTCTGGTCCTGCGTTTGCCAGGGTGCTAGGGCAAGAGAACCCTAATCAGTATCGTTCAAATGGGGATGAGTGAGTGGTGTTAGAGCCATCAGTAACTTACCAAAGGTGCTCCAGGACATTATAGAGGGGACTGAGGGTAAAATGACGTTGGAACATATCCCGGTAGCATTGCCGCATCGTAGAAGAGCCCGGGTGCGGAGGGGCCTTATAGCTGCGAAAAAAATATTAACATATATAAAAAGATAAATCTAAGCCACATTCGTAATGAGAACAAGTCTCGGGGTCACCCCTTGTATAGCCTCCGGCGATGCGCTGACTACCGTGTATCCCTTGTTAGTCGTGGCAAGAATGGGTAAAGCAAGAAAAGTTCCCGTTAGCCTTCCCGGCGCGGCAGTGCTAAAATCTATTATTGGTAGCTTGACTCGCCTGCCCAGCCTCGTCTTCGTCACTTGGACGTGCATACAAGGCTGAGAGAGGCGAAAACACCAACCATAGCGTGACACGCGGCAGCTAATGTTGCCAATCAGATCTAGCAGCTGTTCCACACTTGAGTCACATCAAACCGAACATGACCGACGACTAAAACTTCGTAGCCCTACACCATGAGATCTGCTGTAGCGCTCCAGAGTGGACTAAACTTACATGGTGTAGGGAGATACCGAGAGGTGGAAGAGATAGCTAAGGCAAAGGTGCTGTAATGCATTTAATCTTATTTGCAAGATGGTAGAAAACCAGTGGAATGTATCAACGAGAAACACATGTAATCTCAGCCTTGCTGACATTACCGCCGAGCCCCTGGATCGTGGTTTCCCCTGCTTTGCCTGGCAGCCCGACCTTTTGCGACCTCAGTTTCACATCTCTTGCGCTCTGCCTCTGAAGCCTCTCTCTTGGCCTCTGCGTGTCGTTTGTCTTGTTTATCCCGATCCTCTGAAAAAGGTTTTAGCTCATCGTGTCATTCTCATTCGCTGATTGCACTGTCTTACCCTTAGTTTTCGGAGACGAAAAGACAGGGGACAGGGATGGAGGCTGACCAGAACCCATCCCCTCATGAATGGAGCTCCCCTGCCCCAAAATGGCGTGCGCACCGAAAGCATTTGGAATCACATCATCTACATCCTCCAGAAGATAGAAGTCCTCCTCCTCGCTTATCTTGGAGGCATGAAGCCAGATACGCAATTTTATGCATCGGCGGACCGTTAATAGTCTCCCGTCCGTGAGTTTGATTCTCATCGCAGAGCCCTCACGGATAGAGCCCTCACGGATGGGCAATATCCCGAGGCACTGAAAGCCCAAAGGAGTGAGGATGTTAACCTCCAACTCTCCCGCAAAAGATGCCAGTAGAGTCTGCTCGGTTTCATGAGGTCCATCACAGCAGATTATAATAGACTAAGACAAATGCTAGTATAAGTCATTTGAGTTACCAGTCAAGGAGGAAACGGTGCCATGGCGGTCGAGGGTCCATACCATAGCTTCGTGATGGCTTTGCCTAGACGATCTTTGGTGATGGGCAAGCACTACTGTTCTCAAATGAGAGATTGCTTTGGTCCTTCCGGAGTAATCTACCGGACTTATATATTAGCAGCATTGTGAAGCCTTGTGATTGAGCCGCAAGTATCAGTGTCGTTTGCTGTCGGACCTGTTTATGCAGCGTGGAAGAGGTGCATCTCGAGGGAACAGAACCTCGAGGCTGAACAGGACCAGTTCAGATCAAGAACCGTCTCCGCCAGATAAGGCTTACCCATGTTCATCACTGAGACTTTTTCATGGGGAGGAATGGGCTGCTATGGAAAATTTGGGCTCGCTCACGAGCGTGAGGTTGAATGCAGATGATTGGGGGCCCTAATGCAAGCAAGTCGGGCATCAGGAAACGACAGGAACAGATGTTAATGGCTGGTAGATGTCAATGTTATTAGTTATATATTATTTCACTCTACTCGAAGCCGTAGATCATCTAACGTGGAGGGTCAGTAACCACCAACCGTCAGCAATTGCGATGGGGTGCGTCCTCGCCCTTGCGCTTGTGGAACAACTAGGTCTCATTACTAGCAACATGACCATTCTCTTGCATAAGAGAACAAGGATATTAATTGGTAGAGATAAGGCAAAAAAGCAAAATACATTTATCTGCACTTGACGTGGTTTTCACGCCGCCGCCACCACTCCGTGCACCTGATAAAGGAAAGCTGACCAGCCGCACAACCCCGCAGGACAAAAATGGATTCAGGACTGCACACAATCAACACAGCCTGTCGACTGAAATCATTTGGGGCATAGCCTCACAGGTCGAAGCTCTCCCACTATCGTTTTTCGCTCAATATGATCGCGCACCATAACCGTGGGGATGTCGGAACTTGGTTGCAGCAGCTTGTATCGCGAGATCGTGGGCAAGCCGATCAACACGTCAAATTGATCATTTTCGACCACATAAAAGTCCGTTTGGTAAGTTTTGAGACCCTGCGCAAAGCGCCAGTCCACACAAACTTTTCCGATCGCTGGAATGCGGGTTGTGTCCCCGGCTATTCGGAATGGCATCAGGGACTCCTTGCAAGGCTCCAGCGGTAGGCCGAGTTTGTCAAAAATGACACTTCGTATGATGCTGACCTCGGCCTGCGTATCCATGGAGATTCTCACACCTTTCTTCTCTTGACTTCTGGTTATCAGATAGCCGTTTCTGGTGAATTCGAGCCGTGCGGACTCATTCTCGTCAGTGATAACTCCGGACTGTGGCTGACCATTCGGCAACAGAGGGGTTGTGCTGGCGGTGTCGTGCCCACTGGGTGTTTCACTCGGACTGAGCACGCTAGACGGAACACTACTCGGCAGCTGTTGGTCCGAAAGACTCGACTCGCCTGGATTTGTGTACATGGCAGGTTCTTTGGCTAGCCTGCTCACTAAAGTTAGTAGTCCCTCTGTTGTCCCTACATCTATTGGGGTGTCCACTGACTGCTGCTCATTTGGAACAGATGCTACCTCGTCCACGCTTGCTCTACCAGGTGTATGAGAGCCGTTGATCGATGACTCATTGTGCTGGAATTTGTCATGAGGATGCTCTGGGCTTAAAGATACCGCTTTTTGAACCCAGCAACCTGAATAAATACGGGGTACTTTGAAAAGGGATACCAATGCCGTCAGCAGCCACCATAGTATCGCCCAAAAAGGTCGAAAGACAGCAAGGAGTTGGGCGAGCCAGCGTGGACGCATCATGTCTGTTGCGTGGTTTTGGGCTTCTACTTCTGAAGGCAGCAATTAGAGACGGTGAGAGAGCCAATGATGGCTTCGAAAGGGCTGGAAATGTCCTACCATCCTGCGACCGAGAGCCTTGTCTTACTGGCATCTGGGTTCAGATCAGGGGATCCTTTGTTGTAGCACACAAAGCTCAAGTACAAGTGATTAGAATGATGACTGCGGACAATGACAAATGAGAAGAGATCTGCTGTGTTGAGCAGGCGAGTCAGAAGTGGTCGTTTTAGGTAGAACGGACGGGATAGCTAGGTGTGTTGTTAAGAGGATGTTTACCAGAAGAGGCAAAGGACTGCAGACACGGAGTGAAAAAGAGAGGTAGATGGAAAGAGAAGGCCAAGAGGGCAGGGGACGACTTAAAGTCACTATACCGGTCGTTACGTGGAATTAGCTAAGGGTTTCGAGAGATTCGCGCGGGTGGTGTTGGAAGTGTGGCTGTAAAATAATTAGTCGCCACAGGATATTTCTTGAGCCACAGGCCTGGGCCATTTTCACCTTTGGGTTTGATCAAGTCGCACATAATGAATACACGAATTGTATTTATTGTTGCGTCACTCAGATTGACGTGGCCTGCTAGATGGCCAATGGTAAGTAGGAAATGCTGATACCAGATTACTTTGGTGTCCAATGAGTGCTATGCCTCCCTAACCCACTCTGACTAGAGCGTTTTTCTATTACAACGCTCAGTTATTTCCGGCAAATAATGTTCCTAGAAGAGGTTCCTAGATCCATTCATCCAAACCCAGCTGCTGGCGACTCACGGCACCTCTAAAATGGGGCCGATGGTTCCTGCACATCAATCTATCTTTGGATAACTGATCCGTCTTCATGTTCCTGCCAAAGAATTAAATTATAATGAGACAACAAAAATAACGGTTGTTTTCCCGGATCAGACGCCATTAGAAGGGACCTAACAGATTCATCCCCATTTTCGAAACATGAAGGCAGCACTTATAGAGCGCGGATCCTGACGTAAAACTGCACAGCGGGAAGGTACTGAAGTTATACAATCTAGTAATCACAAAAGAAACGTAACGGAGGAAAGGTAGGGTTGATTCAATGGTTAGATTGAGGTTGTAAAGAGGAACTAAAAACATGCAAGTCGGTAGGTGATGAGTATGCAGAGGGTGGCCCCACCGTGCCACTACGGCCGGAACAAAGTGGACCCGAAGGCTCACTGCACGTACGGACCCGACAAAAGTACTCCGTTCGCTAGCGTGACCCCCGGATGATTGTCGGGGATTACCGCCCCAACTCTGCACGGGAACCTGACACACGAGGGAATGGGGGCACTTTGCTGCTCTGTAAGAATGGAAGTGGGTTATGGTTCGCAGATGATGCGTGACCTAGGAGTTCTATTGTAGCAGCTATTAATCTGCTATTTTCCATTGTAATCATAACAGAGCTTGGTTAACGACAGCACCACATAATGTCTTAAGTTATGTGATTGCAGCAGCCACCCCAGAATACTAGATTTAGCACCTCGCAATGAGCGATTAGTCGGACGCATGGCAGCTCCGTAGGTTGTGTTGAGTAGCTTGGTCCCTGGACATTGGCCCTGGTCTAGGCCATGGAATGCTTCAATAAGATTCAGTAGAGGCATGAATAAAATACAGCACTTGCACTTGTTCCGGTCTTTACCTGAGTCATCCATTATCCATTTTCCAACTAAGAGTACTTTAGTCAACCGAATCCTCAATCTTGATGAGAAGCAGGCAGCAATAGAGCGATGGATGCCGATCTCTTTTGAACGTGTTCATTCTTTCCAATTCATCTTGTGAAATATTATGAAATGTTTTTTTTTTATTTATCGCAAATTCATTGTTTTTTACCCCTCCTATTCATAGTCTTGTTCTTCATTTGTTTAATATCTAAATACCCATTCCGGCATTCATTTTATTTATTTGAACCTTGATTCAACGCAAAAAGCCACCTGCCTGTTCTTCCATCCCAATAATATTCAAGTGCTGGGGGAGGCGACGCCGCCTCACTCGGGGATGTTGACCGTCCGGATCCTGCTTGCTGGGATGCTTCTCGGCAGGTTTCTAGGCGTTCCTCGTCATCTGCAAGGACAACCGAGAAATAACTCTCTACCTTTCCGTTTCTGCTCGTCTGCGTCATCATCGGGAGTTGCTTTCCCTTCTCTTTGGGGAGGTGGTAAGAGGGGGGTTCCTACGGTAATGTAAGTCCTTTAGGCTCCAATATTTCTCCTTTGCTGCCCAGCGCGGCCGCTTAACCTGCACAGAGGGCATATTCATGTGCCATCTACCATGAGGGTAATTAGCTAAGCAGGTCCTTTTGGCGGCTTGCCTAGAAGAGCTTAAGGTGCCCCACGTGATATCCCCTGGGGTCTACTGTCAGGTACGACATCAATATGCATACATCTCTTTATGTCCGACTAAGCTCCCGCAAAATGCAGGTGGCATGTGGTACTAACAGCGTGCATAATTCAGTCCAATTCATCATAGAAGTTACACGATCGGAACCCCTAGCTTGCGTGGCAGTTGGGGTTGCACGAGACAGGAGAAAGACCGTTGACGATTATGTCAGATTACAAGACCATTATCATTGGACGACTGACTGTCGAGCATCATTGAATCTACATGTTTTCTTAGCAGCAGACGAAATACACAGAAAAGTCCAACAGCATTAGCTTAGCGGATGCTTCAGAGCGACGAGAATGTATATCCATGCCCAAGTCCATGCACCGAAGGCTCATCCATATCCTACTTAGTTTGGGATGGCAAAATAACAACGTACAGTACCAAGCAGCTTCCAACCCGTGTGCAGGAGACTGACTGTACCCCTCATCACGACGCTATATATCGCGATATGCTGTTCCTGACTCCACCTCTAAAAAGCTGGATTAGCGTTTGTGAGCAGCTGCACGAAGTAGGCCTACAAACAGAACCACGTCAGTCCGATCGATCAATTCACTCCCAGCCAACGAATTTGATCGGAAAACATACCTGAAACCAAGTCCCCGCCTCAGGCGCTGGCTGCAAGGCATCACTATACCCGCAGTGCGCATCGTATCGAGTAGCCGAGCTGTCAGAGGTGCCGTCACTCTCGCCTCCAGGCTTCACCCAGACGAAGGCGTCGACGAGCGCATCGCCAGTGCTGGTAGTCGGGCGAACACCGAACCCGGTGTTGATGACATTGCACCAGTCACCCCAGGCCTGTTGGCCCGTGGGCTGTTTGCCGTTGCGGCCTGTAATTTAGTGATTCATGTTAGCCAGAGTTAGGGCGAGGGAGGAGGAAGAGGTGTGGGATTGCGCATACCGGTATCGACGATAAAGTGGGCGTCGAAGCCCTGCGCCTCTAGCAGTGGGGCAATCGCATTGATATACTGTTGCTCATCGCAGACGCTATTTCCCTGGGTGTAGGAGGGGCAGGAAGAGATCGTCCAGGCGTTGTAGTTGGCAACGTTCGTGGCCAGACCGCGCACTGCGGCGGGAGAACTGGCGTTCTTGTAGACGCTTGCAAACAGGTCGGCGGCGGGTTGCTGATTTGCGGGCCAGCCGAGCCAACCGGCGTGTCCTGCAGGATCGATGGTCAGAACCTGTCAAGAGGGACTAACAGGGGGATGGAGGATGATGCGCAGCTTACCAGCGTCAAGATACATGGCCACGTTGGGGAGATTGAGCTGGGTTAGCGCGTAGTTCGTACATTCAAGGTAAGCACTTTCAGCATTGGCACATTTGGCTACGTTCAGGTTCGTCACCAGGTTGGCGAGGCTGTCGGGCTCTGTTGGAGGTGACATTTAGCGTTCAGATACAGCATGTCATAGTCGAACAGAGTGAGGAGATACTCACCAATTACCAGAAGGGTATGAACATCCGAATACTGCACAAGAACCTCGCGGATGGAATCAATGTAGGCCTTGTAGTGTTCAACCCCGTTGTCCGCGATCGAATACTCACCGTTACTGGCGAGCGCGGCGCAGTCGCGGTCAGGGAGGTCGTACACCACAAACTGACCCGCGATAGGGGGGTTCGCTCCGGCAGAATTCTGAGATTTGATGTCGGCCAGATAGTCCGCCATGGTAGGAACTTTGTCGGCAGTATCCCTGGAAAGTGTCAACACGACTCTAATACAAATTACATTGCGGAATGAGGAAGCATACAGCCATACGAAAGACGGCACCTTGGCTGCGGCGGTTGCCGCCGCCTGGAGCGAGGAAAGAGAACCAGTGAGCGATGGGATCGCCAAAGATGCGACTTCCGATGAGTAGTACGGGTTCACGTAGAGCTGGTATCCACTGAACGGGTTGCCACTGGCGCTGGCCGTGGTAGTCGGCGAGGCAGAGGCAGCAGGGGTGCTAGTAGCTGTCGTTGTCGTCACTGCAGCAGTGGTACTACTAGTAGTTGTCTTCAAGGTAGTGGCAGAGGCCGAGCCTGTCGCTGGCGTACACTGAGCATAGTCTAATGGTCATGGTCACTCGGCTGTGGAACAGTAAGACAAATAGAAGGAACTCTTACATTCATTTATAGTTGAGCATGTTGCACCAGCCACGCAACTGGTGGCCCCTGAATATCCTTGACCCCCACATTGTCCCCAAAGGGTCTGCTGTGCTTGGATTCCGAATGGCAGAAATGCCACTGCGAGAGACAACGTATAGTGCATTCTGACACTGGGATATTGAGCGGTAGCCAAAGAGATGTCGATTTTTGTTGAACTGTTCTGACTACTATCCTGGTAGTCGGAACGACGGGCGGTCTTTATACTGTCATTCTCTCAGGCACACGGAAGCAGTCCGCGATGTCCTCGGACACAGCACCGTCTTTTCAATTCCAACTCCAATCCTTGATCCCGGAAGATGGATCAATTTGGTCGCAGAGTAGCAAAGGAAGCTACCAGAAGAAGCCCTACTCCGTTCTGTATTGGGATAGGGGATCCGTCAGCATTATATCAGCTGCCACTATCACTTGAAAGATGCATGTATACCCAGACGCCGAGAGAGCTAAACAAGCCATCGGTCGGTGGCGCTGAGACATCTCCCTAACCGATGCGGAGAGCATACTGAAGAATCACGGATACCTGAAGAAATCCGCGTGCAGCCCTATAGTTCGGCAGATGAGTATGATTCAATCCGAAGGGCCTTTCGGTAATTTTCTGACTGGTTGCGAGCCAGTCACGGCCGCACGGCCCGTTCAGCCTGCATCCGCGCTACCAGGGTAAAATGCCAAGCCAATGCAGGGGCTGGCGTAGATCGTATTTAGCCAGAATTGCCCCGGTTTAACAGTCCGGGTGAATTGCTAGAAATTAAACTTGGCCCTATGTGAGGCCCAGATCTTTGCTGATCCAATTATGCCGTTGGTATGCGGAAGGCAACGCGCATGGTTTTGTTGGGGATTGAGCGGAGACGGTCTGAGTAGGTATGTTAGGTTTTTACTCTATATGAATCTATTTGAGCTCATTGAAGACGCTGGTTAGATACTCTATTCTCCTGGATGGGTAAGTGCCTTCGTCGATGAATTTGTCAGTTGATATATCCTTGCTAGAGCTATCGAACAGGCCCCATATTAAGATCCATCTGCGTCCATCCCTCCAGCGTATTCTGTGACAATTCGAAAAACACCGGAAGCCTATGGAACCTTCCCGGTGTATGTTCTTCCAGTAAAACAGCCTTCGCGTGCCTGGTATAGCCCTGACCAAAGCCAAGGCCCACCACAGCTGCAAACAGTTCTCGGCCTTGGCTGGAGTGGCAAGGGCCACGTTGCTCCGGCAGGGCGTCACCTGTTTGTGGCTCCCAAAGGCTCCCATCGAGTGCCCTAAGTAATACAGACGGGGTTGTTTGAGGCTGATTCGAATATGGAGGCGTCTCGCGTGTTCCCAGGGCGTGGCTGGCCACTCGCACCGCCTTGGCCGTAAAGTAGAAGTAGCCCTCATCGTCCATTCTGCCACCGGGGACCCAACTACTGTCAAAGCGGTGCCGGATATCATAGGGAGATGTGTCAGGTTCACTCGATATGTCATCCTTCTGCGTGGAAAATCGTGGAGCCGTGGACACGGATGTTTCCGGGAGCTCTGGGAAAGACGAAAGACGCCTATCTGGGGGCTCCTTCCAACCGGCAATCAACCAGTCAGCTTTGTTGCTCCTCTTCAAGTACTCTTGTGCAAGAGCTATAGTTGCACGAATGCGGTCCGTTGACGAGAACTCTTTAGGATTGAGGGGGACCCCGAACAGGCCCATAATGCTGAATACCGTGTCAACCGGTCGCTTGGAAGTTCTGAAGAAGGAAGATTGCCAGAGGGAGTGGCGTGACCAATTTGACCCGTTCCAAATTGTCTGGGTAGCGTCTGCAAACGCAGAGATCTCTCTCTTCCGCGTTTGGTAGTTTCCAAAAATTGTCAATTGCATCACTGTTGGTTCTGCACTGGCGTTCATTTGGCAAATAGCCTCCCCTGACCCGCGGCGGATGACTTGGAGGAGGTCCACGAGTCTGCAAAAAGCAGAAATATCAGGTACAACAGACTCCACACGACACATGCAGCGTCGGGGGTCGTTCGGTACTATCAAATCAACCAAGGGTCTCTCGGGAGGAATATGAAGGCCCTCTGCCGAAACAAGTACATAAGCTTCGGAGACAATCGCCTCTTGCAACGTCCAAGCGCGCAGTATCCAGTCTGTTTCTTCATCTAAACACACTAGCTTCATCAGGCCACCGGGCAAGACCAGCGGGAGACCCGTTTTGTAGATATCAAACATCTGCTGGATCTGCCATGCCTTGTCGTTGCTATCAGTTTGCATTATACAGACTCTGTCAAGCCAGATATAATCTAGTCGACGACGCTCGCACGCAATGCATGCCTGTTGTATGATGTTGATACTGATTGGATCACCATCAAGCGCGCCCTCGACAACAATTGTGCCTGAGAGCGAATCGGCGCGGTTTCCTTGCCAGATATACGAAATTGCCGCGTATGCTGCTGGCGGTCGGTTGCCAAATTTGAAGTTGTCATACTGTACGATTCGGAGGATGGGTTCTTGGTTGCTAAGTAAAGCTGCGCATTCGACGAGGCGAAATTTCTCGGGCGACCCAATGTTCGAAAGATCGACTAGATTTTGTTGCGAGGTATTCAGAGGGATCTCTAAGATCACCTTGGGTTCCATAGGGCCTATGACAGTACGAAATAGGGACGAACGCAAATTAATCGGAATTGGTGACTCCGTAGGTTGAAGCTGGAAGATTGTGCGTCAGTAAGGTCAATTGATAAGTCGTTAAGTCGGTTACCCCACCTTGCAGATACATACCAAACGTAGGAAGATCAATCATGCACTAGTTCAGTATGCTAGGATTATGTGGGGCGCGCTGATTGTTTGTACTATGTACTTCGTATGTGTATATCAATATATTTAGAATGAAGAGCCCGGGGAAAGATCCTAGAAGGGAGACAAGTGATTAGTTCAAAGCCTAAGAGCATAGAAACCTAATACAAGTTTGAAGTTTATATGGGTCCCGCATGCTCCTTTTCCAGCGATGTCAATATACAACACGGCAAAGACGTCTCTGTCTTTCCGCGAATTCCCACCAATTCCTCCTGCAAGGCGTTACTGTTTCTTGCAAAATATTAAGATTCAAAATACAAAAAAGAAGGAAAAACATACAACAGAAGGGATTCGCTGGTGGTCACCCACCCAACTACTAACCTCCCGGCGTGTGGCTTAAGTACGGCTGAGCGGACGGGAAGCCCTGTTTTCCACACCCTATGGTCGTATGTGCTTTATGTAAGTGTTGCTGATGCTATATACTTCAAGCCGACAGTGAAACACAGTCGACGGAGTGAGATTAGGTTGGGATTCATCATGAAGTGGGTGGGGATAGAGGTAGCGCTGATCTTCATGCGTAATATCAGACATGCCGTTTATGTAGCAGCAACTCAGGTACTAAGCTCATAATACTATTTATCATTAGCAACTCACTCTCCCCCTTAGTTTGTTTTTCTATAATCATTTCCTCTTATGCACTTCGAAGACCTTCGACAACAGTTTAGGAAAATACCAAAGGATTACTATACGAGCATTGGAAGCAATCGACTGACCCACTATACATAACCTGTACAGCCTAGTACTATCCCCCAACTACCCCCAAAACCACAGCCCCAAACCAGTCACAACCCCCATCACCGCCTCAAACGGCGCGACCCGTTTCCACGCCTCCTCGCCCGTCTGATAAAACACCACCGCAGCCAGAAACCGTGTCGGAATCGTAGCCACCATCATCGGGAAGTTATTCTGATAGGCGACGAGAGCATAGAAAGTGCCCAGTGTCAAGGATGAAAGACTTGTGCTTGATTAGCAAAGCCATAACAACTTCTCAATATGTACATGGCCTACCTCATCGCTTGGATAGTCCCTACGCTGACACCCCGTAGCGGCAGGTACGGTGATTGCGCAGCGGAGGCGGGGAAAAGGAGGGTGTAGAGGCCGCTGCCGAGGAGGGGGAGGGATTGGAGGGCGAATAGATATTGGGGGATTTGGGGGGACATGTTTCCTTGTAGGTGTATAGGACTGGGGTTTAGGATTTGTAGGTGCTGTGAGGTGGTGTCTCTGGTAGATGGGTGAGATGTGGTGAGATTGAGGTTTCTCTCCGTCAGCATCCGCGCCACTGTTGTTTAATTAAGGCTGGAGACCCCACCACGGGTGGCTTGATCCCCTGCGGGATGCCAATGAGCGGGAAGTTATCTATCTGGGGAGCTGTACGATGGGATCTAGGTATGATTTGATGTAAAGGCACATGGCATAAGATTGCAGAGACCGGTGAGGTCCCTAGGATGGGATGTTTTGGGAAAGGCGTTATATGTCTGGGGTGAAGTTGTTGGGTCAAACCACTTGATAAAAAAAGAGATTATCGGAGCAAAGTACTAATCCATTGTGAATAACGACGCGACTTCAGCTACGCTAAAAGCAATCGAGCAGACAACCGAAGAAAGGATACCAGTCCAGCCAGTGCAGATCACCACGTCAGTCAAAGCGTGGGTATTAAGAACTCTTCATTCAATGTAAGACAACGCTCACAGAAAGTCACGAACCCCCATCTAATCCAGGAACATCAGCTGACCATTCTGGTTCGTGATCCTCTCATCCAGCCGAATCCAGGTGCGATTCCATCCGTCATTGCCGTCCGCCAACTCTGCCTCCAGCACACGGCCCCCATCAACCAAGCGAACATTTCTAGCAGACGCCGCGAAGTTTCCATTCCGCTCCCAGGCAAACTTTCCCCAGTGATTCGCCAACACACTGTTCAGCGGAAGTACTGAGAGCTGCAGCTCTCCGGACACCCGTCCACAAGCCGCCACCAGATCATGGTGACTTTCGAGGCGGATATCCCGAGCCGAAGCGGAGAAGTTTCCGCGCAGAGGCGCGCCGTGATGGGGAGGAGGTCGGTGGTGCTGGTGCTGCTGCTGAGACATCCTGTATTGTTCTTCCCTACGACGCTGTTCTTCCATTCTGCGACGCTCCTCCTCGCGACGACGTTCTTCTTCCTCGTGCTCTTTCTTCTCCTTGTGCTTCTTCACTGCGTCTTCGGCCACGGAGCCCATCATAGCTCCACCGATGGTGCCGAGAAAACCGTGGTTGACCTTATGTCCCGCGAAACCACCAGCTGCACCACCTGCAAGGGCGCCCATGATACCCTTCTCGCCTTCGCCGGCGGCGGCGGGGTCGGTGGACGACTCGGGAGAGTATGGAGGGGGTTGCTGGTGGGAGGAGTAGCCTTCATGCTGAGGGTAAGGCGGGTAGGGTCTCGACTCGGAGGGAGGCTGGCCGTATTGTGAAGGCTGCTCGTACTGTGGGTAAGGTGGGCGTCCACCGTAAGATGAGTATTCAGGGTTCTGGTAGCCGGGTTGAGGCGACGGCTGCTGGTATGGGCTGTAAGGTCTGTTGTAGCCGCCAGCGCCCTGAGGAGGATAAGGCGAAGAGGCGCCGTATCGGTCATGGCCGTTCTCGATGGAGGGGGGATACGAGCCGTATCCGTTGGAGCTGGGAGTGTCGACGGCCGGGGATGACCAGGGAGAGGGGTTCTGCTGACGGCGATCAGGGTTGGCGGGGGCGGCACTGCTGCCACCGAAGTACTCTTGAGCTGCCATGGTGAGGTCTAACTGTGCTTGTAGACGGCAATAGAAGATGAAGGGATGTATTCGGGATGCTGGAGTGAAGGATGAGAGAAAAGCAACGAAACGATGAAGGAAGAGGAGTGTTGACTTCTTAAGCGGGAAAGCTGTGGCTGTGCGGGGTTGGGGGAGGGGCTGCCTGAGACCCCGCTAACCTGGCCCAGTAAGCGCGAGTCAGGCACCAAGTGGCGCAGTCAAAGGGCGGCGGATTGATTGGTGCAGAGGAGAGCTCTGATGGCTGTTCCATGGGCGGGACTCACTTAGGGCTGACAGGAGTGCCTGCACAGCCCCACTGCTTCTCTGCCTCAGTGCCTACAAGCTCTTCGCGACGCTTCGCGGGCTCACTTTTTCCTGAAACATACAGGAAGCTAAGTAGGAATAAGACTTTTGGCTTGAATTAGCTGATGTGAGAAGTGTGTGTACACTATAATGTATGCCGTCATAGGTAACTGATGCTTGTACGGACACTGAAAGTTGATTTCATTGCTGCCTATGACCGGATGTGGGGGCTAAATTCTGGGCAAGGGTCTTCGACCATGAATTTTTACTCATTACTTGGCATTCCCAGATATATGGATTTCCCTGTGACTCCTTAGTAGTGTCTTTCACCGACTTGAGACAGGTCACATCGATCTGCTTCCCACTGCACCCATGTTTACTCCCTCCTTCACTACGACAGAGCCAACTAGACTCCCAACTAAAACGATCACAGGCCCCATGTGACTCAGTCCAACGCAAGTACAAGACCGCATCTTTATACTGTGTTAATCGCCCAAAAAATCTCAACATTCACTACCACATCATAACATAACACAGTCATAAGCGAACTTTCAGTCACAGCCTAGACTGCAGTTGAAAGACAGCCTAGCCGAGGCATAGATGGCCACAAGCGAAAAACCGAAACACACGGAGCGCACTCTCATTTTCGAGAACTCATAAGGGACTTCGAACGGTCCACTCCTAAGCTTGGGTGGAGCGAACACCTGTTTCCCCTTTTAGGCATAGTTTCGGGGCCGTGGTCCACCGTCAACAGCTGCACCGCCACCGAACATCGATCAGCATTAACGCATGGTTCAGTTGATGGTCTGGTAGATGACACCATTTGTGAGTGACGGGAACAGGGAAGGGAAAGCTTATCTGTTCTAGGCCTTGCTGTAGAGCATGCGCCTCATGATCAAGCAGACCGTTCAACCTTGGCCATACGATTGGTATTCGAAATGATACTAACTTCAATCACTATGATCACGATTAACATCCACCTCCGATTAAAGTATACACGTTATCTTATATACAAGAATATATACAGCCATCACCCCCGAACTATATAAAACCCATTCACAGCAATCTGCTTATCCCTTGCCTCATCCGTCGGAGCCCTAACTCCGATCCAATGCAAGGGAACCTTCTCCGCCAGCTTCTGCCCTCGATACTTGACGTTCTCCACACCTTCTCTAGTTCTATCCATCCAGCCTCCACTTCCACTTCCATTTGCTCCATTAGTGCCTATACCTCGCGTCCCCGAGAAGGACCTATCTGCTGCCCAAGCAGGATGTTCGAGAATGCTCTGCGCATACGACACATCGCATGCATCAGCTAACATGGCCGCCTCAGCAGCCGCCTCGCGAGCAGCTATGAGATCCTTTTCTGTCTGGCCTCGGGGCGGAGGTACATCCGGACGGAGAAAACCCATGATCCGAATCTGAAGCTTGGTTTGAGCTCGTACCGGCACAGCAGGTTCATCGATGAAGCGGACAGTCGTGACCTTCTGCATAGCGCGCGAGAGATTGACTCGCTCCTGTTGTATCGGATCAAAGTATAAAATCGAGAACACGACGCCCTGCCACGTTCCTGAGGCTGAACCAGGCCCTCTCTCCGCTGTCGCCTCAACACCTTCAACCCTCGCCCACCCAAAGAAAAACCCCCGATACCGATCCAGCACCATATCAGGTACCTTACCAACCCTAAACCGAAGCCCATCACTATCCCCGGCTTCCACTCTCGCTGTCAGATCGACTGGAAATGGCGCCTTCGGCCCCTCCTCCAACGCAAGCTGATACCCCGCCTGCACATCCCTCAACCCACTCCCACTCCCACTCCCTCCCCCATCATCATCATCCCCACCAACCCCCAACACCGACCCAACCCTATCCCCAACCCCACTAACCGAAACCGCCGTTTCCGCCGCCGTCTGCGTCACCCAACTCGGCTGATACGGCTGCACCTTACTCTGTACCGCGGCCGTAACCGGCGCCACGACCGCCTCCGCAGCAGTCTGCACATACATCCCCAGCACCATAGCCCCGACTTCCAACGGCATAGTGGACAAACTAGCCCCCCTACACGAACTAGGACTCAAACTCGTCGACAACACCCGAAACACCGGACTATAACACATAACCTTCCTCCTATTCTCTCCATCCCCACAAAGCACAAGCTGGAAATACCCGTCCCCGGCCTCAACAGGGATCCTCACCACCATCGTCTCGCGCAGCACATGCTGTCTCTCGCGCCCCGTCGCCTTCTTGCGAAACTTGCCAATGTCGCGCTGCCACGCGCGCTCGTCGACCGGGTCGACTTGCTGCACGTGCACGGGCAGCGTCGGGGTGACATTCAGCCAGGAGTCGGTGAGGCCGAGGAATGCTTTGGTTTTCATTCCGGTTTTGCCGCTCCAGCCTTTACTTTGGAGGTAGAGTGTGCGGGTCGGGGGGAGGGGGGAGTCGGAGAAGATGGAGATGGTCACGGAGGTGGTGCTGCCGCGGTAGAAGACGATGCCGGAAGAGTGCCGCAGGATGGTGGTGTGTTTTGTGCTGCTTGTGGGGTGCGTTATGAGGCCGCCGAGGAAGTGGGTGGCTTCGTTATAGGCCTTTTGGGCGGTGGAGCGGCCTGTCACTGTTGGGTTTGGGGTTGTTGCGGAGCGAGGAGGGGGTGGTGGTGGTGGGAGCGGGGAGGGGGTACGACTTGGATAGGATGGTTCATTGTGGCTAGTGGCAGAGCGGACGGGGAGGGGTGGTGTGTAAGGTGGTGGAGGGCGATGAGGACGTGGTGATAGTGGTTGTTGGTGGACTTGGGAGTTGCTGCTTGGAGGATACGCATGGTTGTGGCGGTGGTGTTGGTGAAGGCGATACCGTTATGACGCCGCGGATGGTGCCGTCCGGGGAGGGGGTCTGGGGTAGGGGTTTGCGCTTTATTCCTGTGTTGGTGTGCATGGTGTGGTGCACCACTGGGAAATTGGGGTTATCTAGTAATCATTATGGTTCAGTGGGAATGGTCAGGAGAAAAGTCCCCTGGACCCCTATTGCGATGGTCTGGATCGAGTGATGATGTCGATCGGATGCCGCGGATGTGATGAGTCAGCGGGCGATAAGATAAGATGGTTTGGCAGGTGGGGATCAATAGTCTGCAAGAAACTGTTAAGGACTTTCCTATGGCATTGTTGATATATTGACGTATAGATAATAGAGTATGCATGGGTTTGCTAAGCCATTAATTAGTTCACCATCTGTGTAGTGGTGTTGCGTAATAGTAAGATTGTAATCTCCCCACCATGTGGCGGTTGCATCAAACGGAAAGTATATTCCGCTGCGGCGAAGACATAAAAGGAACTTCAGCAACCAGCAACACTATAACCGTAACCATCAGCTGTACCCTCCTCAAGTTTACTAGTCTATCTATCAATCTTTCGAAATGTCTCACCTCACCTATTACAACTACGAAGGAGTTGGAAAAAGGAACCAGCAAAAGTTCAAATACAGCCAAGCCGTGCGCATAGGTGATCGCATTGAATGCTCTGGACAAGGTATTCCGAATTCCTGCAGATATGGATACCGGGACCCATAACTAACCACCACAGGCGGCTGGGACCCAAACACTGGTGAATTCTATAAAGAGATCAACGCGCAGATAGACCAAGCTTTCAAGAACGTCGAGCTGAACTTGAAGAACGCTGGCGGCAAAGGATGGGAGCAGGTCTTCCGCGTGAACTCGTACCATGTCCCCATCAACAACGAAGCGTTGGATGCCATGGTTAGGAACTTCAAGAAGTATATGCCAAACCACGAGCCCCTGTGGACATGTGTGGGCGTGACGAGGTTGGGAGAGGATGATATGAGGGTTGAGATTGAGGTGGTGGCTCATGATCCGAAATAGTCTGCGATCAGGAATTTCAGAAACGGAGCTGAGCCATACAGCTTGTTATAATCGAAGGCCATGTTTATAACTTTTAATTACCATGCGTGGTCCAATGTGGCCTGGTTCAACAAGTCAAAGTATCCGCAGTCGTCTGGTAGCTGACTCCAAGGCGCGAGATCAGTACCGAGCATATGATGCAGCTCCGGAATAGCCCCGTCACTAGTAGTGCCAAATAGATCGAAAGGCTTTTGTGTAGGATCATGGATGTCAAGGTCAACCGCAGTGATGTTACCATCCTCGGGTGACACCTCGCTAGGCAGCATGGGACAAAGCCTTCTAAGATTATTCGCAATATGTCGTGCGGGATGCCATGACTTAGACAGTCCATCAAGTGCAGCAAGACATATTCGCAGCTGGTTGCGCTTAGACGGACAGTCTGGCTCCTCCAGAATGACCCGAGCTGCTGATAGCGTGCTATGCATGGCTGAAATTGGACTACGTCGGAAATTGCCAAATGTCCGGCAGTATTTCTGAGCCACCACACACATTGTCTTAGCGGAGTCCCTGCATACGGTTTGAGCCTTCTCCATCGTCTTAGTCCTTGTATCAGGTGAGTCGTAGTAGTAAGGGTCCATCAGGAATGGTTTGGCAAGTAGAATCTTCGTCGTATGATATACCATATGAAGGGTATATGCCTGAGGCACAGGGTTGGGACGGTCAATCCTGAGGTGCTGAGGAAGATCGTAGAACCAAGATCTTAGAGCGAGAAGGTTGGATTCGAGAAATTCCGGCCGCTCCGTCCCCTTCACGAGTGGTTTGGGACCCCACCTTCCTTGGTCAGAGAGTTGTCAATGTAGTCGGGATGATACTTACATTGAGAGAAGGATGTTCTCGGTGATTTTGCAGATTCCGATCAGTGCTCTTTGCAGAGGGACCACCGTGTTTTGAATCTCCGCAGGTGTCTCCACGGTCTCCGCGGAATCGCCCATATCTGATGGTAACTCGACAGCGCCTTGCTGATCCTGCGCGCTGTTAGCGAGGAAAAGAGGACGGCATAAGAGAACTGACGAGCATCGAGCATATCCGCCCCGTATAAGTAGCGGAAAGTTTGTCATGACAATACAGTGTCCAATAAATTTGCCTTCTCAAGCGTGCCTCCCTGGCTGATATAGTGACCGTGCCTGCAAAGCCTGCCGGATCCATGTTCAAGCCCATGTCAAGACACAGTCGGTCCGCCATGCCATGGTGAAGCCATCCAGCAGCATCTTTGCCGATTGCCTATTCGCCACAATAAGTCACAGGCTCCAATTGCATCTGAAAGAGAGAACCTACAAAGTAGACCATGCCAATGACCCCTAAAGCCTGAATAGTGACAAGAGTAGGATTTTCCATCTCTAAGTGTAGAAGACTCTTCGCTCGGGAGAGTAACTCCAGACCGGCTGAGTTTGGATCATTTGAATCTAGTCGGACTTGCAAGCTATCGCAATATCGAGAGCCTAAAGCGAGAATAGAGTAATGAAGCAGTGGACTCCAGTATTTTCCCAGGGAGCTCATGCTCTCCCTGAATAGAGTCTCGTCGACGATGGGATACCATGGTTGTTCCCATGTAAAGTAAAGGTTAATGAGCTCGTTCTGCAAAGAGATAGGGATTTCGTCGATCATTGGACTAGTTACTGTCAGCTCGAGGTAGTCATCGATGCTATTGAGCGCAGCATCCGCCTGGGGTTCATGTTGTGAGATCTCTCGGGTTTCACCGCTTGACGGAAGGCCCTGGAATCCCAGTCGCCCACTGGTAGGCCCGAAGTACCGCATCTCCCCATCTTTGTCAAAGTTCAATGACTCGTCCAGCGATAATTGGCCTTTGAGAGATTCACATAGACTATCCATCGCGGAGCATGTCTCGTCTATTTTTTCATTTACCAAGTAGCTATCCAAGCCTTTTCCAGGAGGCTGCGAACCATGATCTATGGTGTTGATACCGTGCTGATCTAGCAGCTTCTCCAGCGATTCGATACGCTGCCTGAGGAGTAGGACGTACGACTTAGAAGCCGGTCGGCGCCCATCTTCAGTGCCTGAATATTGACATGACACATTCCACTGAAGGCATCTGGAGCATGATGGTTTTACCCCGTCACACTAGAAGGATTAGCGATCGTATCATAATGAGCTAGGTAATGATTGTTCTCTACGTCGAGGTTTTACCTTAGCTCGCCGCCGACGGCATTCTTCGCACGCTTTGGTGGTATATTTACCACGAGATTTTGCCCTGCTTCTCCCATCCCGTGATGAATCCATTGCAAACCAGAGGCTTTACATAGTTTAATTGGTGAGGGAGGCTTGATGACCTTACAGAAGGTTGCAGCCCATCGTCAATGAAAACTGGGTCACTGTGGGGGAAAGACCGGTCAATTTGTCAGCACGAGCATCACAGCCATCTGGTTAGTTAATCGTTCAAGCCCTGAATAACTTCAACAACGTGATGTTATCTTGAAACTAGTTGGTTTTAGTTGGATAAACACTCTAATTCATTCATTGATCAATTGAAAAAAACACATTCTGAATCAAGCATGTAGATTCATACTATTTACGTCACTCGATTCCTAAGCCTTGGATTGTTTGGCGCAGCCAATCAGCTGAATGTCAGTCGCAGGGAGATAGCTTCCGCGTAATTTCTTCCACGTCATACACGAAGTATGTAAGTGAAGAGTATTTTGCCAACTAGAATCCAAGTTCGCTATGAGGCTTGGAGATGGCTGTTGGAGCAAGTGTATGATGGCGCTGGTTGGCTTCGCATGCCGTCCCGGTCGGTGAAATACCCGCATGCACTAACAGTCACGGGTGCGTCTTGACAGACGGCGCTCATCAAGACAGCTTCCTTTTTTCTGTCCACAGGGAATTATGACCCTAGCGTCATGAAACAGCCCCTTTTTCTGTGCTGAATCCGACCTCAATTGTGATAAGCATCGGTGTTTCCCGGAGTCATGGGTTGAAGCTCGTGGCTCGCACGGACATCTCATGTCTATCACCCGTTCTCTGTGAACGCGGATAGATCCATCTGGGGGCGCAACGTCAATCACCGGCGTCGGAGACTCCTTCCCGCGCTTCAAACCGTCTTAGTGCTTAGCTAGAGTTAATACTCCATGTTATAGCACCCACAGGGCAGGCGCAAGGCTGGTACCGATATCTTACAATACAGGCTGTGCTTATTCCCTGCACCGGCCTGGTCATTAACCCTAGTAACGGCCACTTAGCGCCCTGCGTTGGCATCTATTCCCTGCTAGTTACACTCTTAGGCACCCTTAGTTACCCCAACTAAATATTCGCCAGTGATATAAACGGCTTTTCCAATGCCTATCATAATCATCCCTTAATCCCATGCTTCTTTTTCTTTTCCCCCATCATCCCCCATCTTTCTCATCCCTTCCCGCAGCTCAAGCTTTGCTTCACAATGCAAGGTTTCAACTTCCAACGGGAAGGTGTTACCGGCCGCATCGCCATGGCTTTGGCGGCGGTATGCCTCATCTCGTTCTTTTACAAGATGGTGAAGACACGACTGTACATGTATCGTCTCAAGAAACAAGGAATGGTATGTGAGCCTATCTTGGATTCGTCGAGCTCGACTAACAGTCTATCTATAGCCAATGCCTCCCTGGGATCCCATCTTCGGTCATCTGCGAATCATGCCTGGTCTCGCCAAGAAGTGTCCCAGTGATGCCATGCAATCTCAGTCGTTTGCTATCCTCTCAATGGAGTACCCAGGACTGCAGAACGGCTTCTATATTGATGTTTGGCCATTCATGTATCCAATGTTCGTCTGCACCACTCCGCCACTCGCCGTGCAGGCCTGTCAGACCTACAAGTTGACGAAGCCAACCGACCTCCTGGCTGGATTTATCAACCCAATGGCGGGTGGAGAAAATTTCTTCACGACGAATGGTGCAGTGTGGAAGCGTGATCGCGACCTGTTCAATCACGCTTTTAGCATGGCAGCCGTGCTAGGGCATGTAGACTACATCCTTGAGGAAGCAGAGATATATGTTGAAATTCTTCGGGAGCATGCCAAGAAGGGCGATACATTCTCCATGGACGACCTTGCTTGTAACTATATGATGGATGTAGTTGGCAATGTTGCACTGTAAGAATAACCCGATCGTAGACATGTCTGACGATTACAGTCACTGACAAACCACCAGGAACACCCGCTTCAACTACCAAACCGGCCACAACCCCATCGCCGCCGCAATGCGCAGCACCATCGAGCTCGAATGCGGTCGAGAAGGAGAGAACAATCCCTTGCGACGCTGGAACATTCATCGGTTGTACCGTCAATGGCGGAACAGCCAGATCATGAACCACCACATTGGCCTGGAACTGGAAAAACGCTACCAGGAATATTTACAACACGAGCAAACTTCCAAGACCCGCGGTAAATCCATCATGGACATAGTGATCGCCGAATACATGAAGAACCGACCCGCAAGCCAAACCCAGATCTCGACCCTAGACCCCGAATTCAAAGCCTGGGCCATCATCCAAATTCGTCTTTTCCTCTTCGTCGGACACGACTCAACCGCTGTGACCATTATCTACTGCCTCTACCTCCTCTCCAAATACCCCGACACCCTCGTCAAGATCCGCAAGGAACACGAAGAAATCTTCGGCCCCGATACCACGACCGTCGCAACACAAATCAGGGAACACCCCGAAAAGATCAACCAATTGTCCTACACCACCGCCGTCATCAAAGAAGCACTCCGTCTCTTCCCACCAGCAAATGGCATCCGATGGGGCCGTCCAGGCATTTCACTCACTGACACCCACAGCACCGATGGACGGACCTTCCCTGTAGATGACTGCCCCGTCTGGATCGTGCATACCGCTATCCAACGGAACCCAGGGTACTGGCCCCATGCCCACGAGTTTGTCCCCGATCGCTGGCTTGTTGAGCCGGGGCATGAGCTCTATCCGCCTACTGGTGGATGGCGGCCCTTTGAGCGTGGTGCACGAGACTGTGTGGGGCAGAACATGGCTATGTTGGCTATTAAGATTACTCTGGCTATGCTGGTGCGGGAGTTTGACTTTGATAGTCAGTATGAGGAGTGGGATCGTAAGAATCCGGCGGCTGGCGCGGTGCGGACTATGTTTGGAGAGAGGGCGTATATGGTTGCCAAGGGCGCAGCGCATCCGGCTCAGGGGTATCCGTGTAAGGTGAGGTTGGCTGTGTAAGTAGTATGGTTGTTTGATATTATGTGTACATTATACGTGATTGAGGATGTGCTTGTAAACATATCATCTTGTTAAAGGGTATCTATTGTAGCATGAGTTCTAGTAGATGCTAAATCGGGATGTAGAAGTGCTGACTATGCTGTATTAAGATTTTAATAAGCTGTGTAGAAAACAGCCATACACCCTTAATATGTTTAGAGAGGGTAAAGAAATATATTTCAGCAGACCTGATTTAAATACATGCCTCCTTTGTAGGCTTTGCTATAAACTGACTAATATTGCGTTTGTTGCATGTGAGTGAGCTGAGTCGCAGTCGCAGTGATCAATTGGTATTTATCTACAAAAAACAGATATGGACCAACTTAAAAAAGCAGCTATGCTAGAAGCTACTCTAGCCAATATTTCTCTTTGAATCTTCCTCCTTTTCGCCACTTCCATCTCCCGTCAAGAGCCAATTAACCCCACCCGTAAACAATTAATGATCGCTTGTTGTGTACCAATGACTATACATCCCAGCGTGTCAATCACGCTCACTGCCGCGCCTGTATTGGCACCAACGTGTCTTCTAGGGGAGCAATCCTTCATTGTACTATGAGGATAGAGTGGTGCGGACACACAGCCTTAGGTGCAACCGTGATGAAGTTCTCAGATAATGCTTGCTATTGCTGCGTCGCTTGATCGAGGAAATGAGCATATATCTGCAGCAGGCGTTGAGGATACCAATCATGAAGATCCAGGCGACTATTAAACCTATCAAATGGAATCCTAGGTGGCTCAGCCTGTTCAAATTGATTTAATTGCGTGTATTGCTATAGTCTATTTCTTTATGGCACAAGGGATGGTATATCTTCCAAGATACTTCAAGTATTAGAATTGTTCAATACTATACATATGACAAAGGTATCGCCCTAAAGATCCGCAAACCCAACCTTCTTTCCCTCCGGCAATGGAGAACCCTTTCTCCTAGCGTGCTTGGACCTTGCGCAGGCAGTTCTCTATGAGAACGTATTGGTGTCATCGGTGTTGCAAGCGGGTGCGTCTCTAGTGGGATCCGGTCTTGGTACTGGGCTTCTTGCTAGTCTTCTTGCTAGACTTGCTGCCAGAGTTGCCAGAGGAGTTGCCACTATAATTTGCAGTAGCCTCCACAGTAGCAGTGGTAGTGGCCCTGATAGTAGTCGTTGTAGTAGTCGTGGTGGTAGGACTGTCCGCAATATTACTGCACTTCTTGAAAGTATTGCCCGCAAGCGTAGGATGATACACCGACCCCACATACTGGTTACTCCCATTCATGATAACCCGGTACTTTCCCGGTTGGCCATTTCCTTCAAGTTTTTTTTCATTAGCACAGTCTCGTATATCGGAACGAAAAGTTCAAGAAGAGGCAAGATTGGGGCAGCTCACCCGTATATGTACCACCCGGGATCAACGGATACTCTTTCATATTGGAGGCACCAAAGAAGCCATCGTAGTTCTTGAAGGGAACTGGATATATCCCACCACCGCCACTTTTGGACTGTCTGATGGCGTTGTTGATGTCCGTTTTGGTTAAGATCTTTCCATCGCAGTTGACATCTTTGATCTTCGCGCGGCCGCGGGCAACAAGAGTACTAGGCTCATCAGCCGTTGGGTTGGCGATGGGGCTAGCGACTGCAGTGAGAGCCAGGGCTAGAAAAAGGGTGGGCTTGAGACTGAAAAGCATAATGACTTTTGTTTTTATCTGGAAACAAAATGGTTTGGTTGGAAAGAATGTGTTGACGGATGTTTGTCCGAATAAGAGACTGGTATTGAAAGAAGGAGAGAGTTGTTGAGTGAGTGACTTGATTGCGAGATGAAAACCAGAATGGTGGTGCAAAGAGCCAGTATCTATTAGCCTTCTCCGTGATTGTATCTTGCCATATACTACTATGACTGAGGAGGTTGAGCCCTCAAAAACGGTTTTCAGCCCCAAGGAATGTCTCAGTTGTCTATAGAGTATACAACGTCGCTTAGCTATGTATATCCCCATGGTGGGGGTTAGGAGGGGGCCAAAAAGAGATTAGACAGCTGCCAACTGGACCGAACCGAAGATCGTCTCTGGTAGTAGAATCCCGGTGCACTGAGATCCATCTGAGGAATGGGGGCCGGGCGATCTTTGACGCTGCAGCTTACGGGCCAACGGTGCCACCCGCACACGTTAGGACCCTTTCCTATGAAAATCGCCTATCGTATGCGGGGTTTGATCCTATATAATGTGGGGTTGTCTCACAGTTCGTATTCTTTATATAGGAAACAAAAGTTTCAGTTCCATTCCAGGAGCGCGAAGGTGGACTGTTGGAAACGGTTGTCTGATCAGTTTCTCAATGCTAACCGCTTCAAACAGCCCCAACGCCCTTTATTTTGAATTGATCAGATTGTGTTCTGATCCATCTTTCTTTCCACCCCCAACCCTCGTTATAGAAGATTTCGGTGAAAAATATCTTGCTCGACCGGAATATCAATTTATCAATGAATTGATTCAGGATCCTGATAGACTATGTCCAAGAGTAGCATGTATATGGTTGCCAAGGGTGCAGCACATCAAGCTCGGTGTGTCTGTAATATCAGAGAGGAATTAATACATATATATAACGGAGTTTTCTCCAGTTTTAAAGGATATAAGAAATTTAAATTATGATTATAATAATTAAGTAGCATCTATCTTTAATTAGAATAGATCAATAGAAAAGCACCCTGTATTATAACTACTATAGCTAATACGTCACTATGAACAGCCTCTTTCTTCGCCATGCTAGCGCCTTGCCTGCTGTGAACTAATGCAATCATGGGAAGAGATTGAATATAACTACTCACTCACTGTACGATAGTAGGTATTGCATCAGTGTTAGATTTTATTGTATATTATTCATATAGCCAGATACGAATATATACAATCTGGGGCTATCGATATAATGTAAGAAACTTAGATTCCTCGAAATATTACCACCACCGTTGATTTAAGGAAACAAGTGTCTCTCTATTTAATCTTCTCTTCTATCAATTTCATTGAGACTCAGTGGATGTAAGTCTATGTGGAAAGAACTGCATCAGGGCTATTATACAACTGTTCAATCATACAAAACTAGAGTACAGGACCCATGACTATGTCAGATCTGCTATTCCCACCTCCCCGCCATCCTCTGTTGGGACTTCTTCCTCGATGGTCTGACGGTCGTGACTTTCACCTGCGCCCGTGTAGGCAATGAAGCAGAATCACTTTAGTGGCTTCCAGTCTTCTTACCTGACTTGCTGCCAGACTTGTTGCCGGATTTGTGACTCGTGTTGCCACTATTAGCCTTGGTAGTAGCAGTGGTGGTAGCCTTAGCAGTAGTAGTCGTGGTAGTAGTAGTGGTGGTGGTAGGTGTATCGTCGAGATCCTTGCACTTTTTGAAACCGCCACCCGCGATGTGATAGAGTGATCCCTGATAGGTGTACTTTTCGTTCATGATGACGCGGTAGCTACCCGGTTCTCCGGCAGTCTTCTCTGTTACAATTCAAAGCTTGTTAGTGCATGCTCGCCTACTCGAATACGAGCCAGTGGACAGCAAGAAAGTGCAAGACAGAAGCAGAAATGGGGTAACTTACTTCCGCTATAGGTTCCTGAGACCAAGGGATACTCATACAGGGTGCTGGTGGAGCCAAAAATGCCCTCGCCATTGCCGTATACCGCTGGATACTTGCCATAGGCCCTGGCGTTTGTCTCCCTGCCCTTTTCAACCACCTTGGATTGTTCAATGGCATTATGAATGTCTGCTTTAGTGAATCTCACTCCGTTGCAATCGACATCTTTCCTAGTGGCGCGGGCGACCAGGGTGTTGGCATCATCGACCGTCGGGTTAGCGATTGGGCTGGCAATCGCGGTCAGGGCCAGGGCCAAAAGAATGGTGGGCTTGAAGGTGAAAAACATATTGATAGAGTGAATGTGTTCAGTTGGGGGGTTGCTTGAAGGAAAGACTTGTAATCAAAGTATGAAAGGGATTGTTAAGTGAGTGTCTGAGCTAATGACGAGATGAGGACAGGAACAAGGATGCGAAAGGGCAGACTTTATACCCTGCTGCATGGTTTGCCTCATCATACCATGAGCTATAGAGGCCAAAAACATGAAGCCCCCAAGAGCGTCTCAGCCCCCAAGAAGTGTCTCAGAAGTCTATATAGTATACGAAGTCGCTTAGCTAATTATACTCCCGTGATGGGGGCCACGATGGGGCCAAATAGTAAAGGACTGCTACCAGCTAAACCAGAATTAGAGACCGACATTCGGGTAACGGTGTATCTGGATCTCCTTACCAAGTGGGGGCCGGGCCATCTTAGAGGCTGCAACGGCATCTCCCGCACATGTTAGGACCCTTTCATATGAAAAACACCCATCAGATGCAGGGACCTGATCCTTTGTAAGGTGGGGGATCCACAAATCTGATTTTTTGTATGACCAACATAGAAGGCTGAACTCGACCTCGTTTTGGAAACGGTTGGCTGATCAATTCATTAGTGCTGACCGCTTTCCAACCAGACCCCACGCTCATTATTTAAAGCACTCCAAGCGTGTCTTGGACCAATTTCCCTCCAGAACCTCAAAGCCACCATCATGGAAGAGACCATCAGGGAAGAGCTCGGCGAAGACCTCGTTGTGCGACCAGAATTCCGAGTCATTAATGACTTGCTTCAGAATCCCGATGTTTCACCCACTGAGGCAGTCCAACGGCTTCTGCGGGTACGAGAGAACCTACACCATGGACAAGAACCCCCGTCTGAAATTGATGGCAACCACACATGGTTCACCATGCTCCTGCTCGTAGAGATCATAAATCTCACCCCACCTGCAAAGCAGCGCAAGCTCGTTGAATTTATTGCTGAGCTCCAACGTGTTGACCTTACCGATCCTGATACCGGCCAGTCGCCCACGGCGATCGAGCTGAAACTATGGACGGAGCTTCCATACCTCGAACTATACTTGGCTGATATGTATGGATTCAGATTCAAGCCTGGTACGTCTCTCTCCCATCAACCAAGCCGTGATTAACTCTATCAGAATATGCCCGGCAGGTCGATGAGGATCCCCAGACGGAGTATCCTCCAAGAAAACTTCAGGAGTGGGAGAACCGCAACGCTTTTATGGCGCAGCTTACTGCAAAAGCAGAGCATCTCCGCCATCCCATGGATGTATCGCTGTACGCTCTGTACTCCTGCCGATCGGCATTCGAGGAAGGGCCGCTGATAGAGGAAGCGGTGCGCACTGCATGTATCTGGTATATCCATGCCGGCCAGCGTGTGTGGGAGAATTGCCAAATCGGACGGGAATATGGAGATGATGATGATCCGCCTCCACGCCGGCGCTTTAATATGGAAAAATGGCGCATTTGGAAAGATGGACTGAAGGCGGCACAACTGGAATTTCCCAGGGAAAGTACGCAGGAGATGATACGGAAGGCGTTGGAAAACATTGAGAAAGCGGAGCGGGAAGAGTGAGGATCCGGAGGAGGTGATGGAAGAAGGTATTCCGCTGGATATTAGCTCGGTAGTAATATCATAGAAGGCACGTCACGCCCTAGAAATTGAACGTGCAGGAATTCTTCCTTTGCTTATTTTAGCTTACAACGGGCCAGAAGTTCCAGTAAAGTAGGTATATGCTGCGTGCGATACATCAGCTAGCCGATCACTGTCACCGACAATTATCGAACCATGGACTGTCAAGTTGACTATATACTAGTAAAGCGCCCAGGTACAAATGTAGACCGCATTGGTACAGAACTTCGCACACAGCTCGAAGGAATCTCCGATTGTATCAGAATTGTTATTCTGCCAGCCTGGAACCTCGCTGTCAAAAGTGCGTCAATAACTTCTATTCTTCGTTTTTTGATGATACTGTTTGAGTAGTATCGTATTTCATACTATAGCACTCTCCAGATTCCCATTGCCGATGATACATGATAGTCCGTTCGCGAGACGGTTATCATAGCTTTTACCGGGAGCGACACTGCAAATGCCAAAGAGTAGTCCAAGTTTGACAGCTGAAATCTTTCTGCGCAGCTCAACTACTGCCGAAGTGGCAGAGATCGTTCCGTAAACACCAGCCGGAAGGGCGATGATGACGATATCGTGGCCACTTAAACTACCGAAGCCGTAGGGTTGTGATCGGGATGTGGCAGACTTGGAGGCCCGTGGACTTCGTCGAGAAGAAGCTTCACTGCTGCGACCTCTTCTGGCAGGGCTCATAACAACGCCACGGTATAGTCATGACATGGAAGCTTTCGAGTAATCATTAGGAAAACTTGTATATGGGATAAGGACCCCACTTCGGTATCCTTATCTCTGAGGTGTTGTAGGGTGCCTATTAATCCAGGAAGAAGAGGTATGATGATGCAAGGCGCGTAGGAATTTGTGAAGTTGGAGGAGATCAGACTCAAGCTGTCCGTGCCCCGAGAAGGTATCCAGGAATGACTTCATCGAAGGCTGTACTGAACGGGATCTCAATGGCCTTAGCATGTGGTAATTTATGATACATGACTTTCGGATTGAGTATACGGTGCAGGGTTGCCATAAAGGAGTACTGCAAAAGATGAATTGGAAGACTTGCGTAAAGCCTCGGGCAGAGTATTCAGCCTAAGGCTAACGCGCTCAAATTGGCATGAGCTCTGCCTATCATCATCTGCAGCCTTTCCTAAAGCGGAGGTGGAAGGTCTGACGGGAACCCATCACAGCAACAACGCGATGTGCAAACCGTCCGTCAAGAACGCAAGTTTCTAAATATCATACCCTCTATCAATGCAGAAACCCTATTTGCCTCCAGTTTTGAATATACCGACGCACCACCTCCTCGCTCACAGGGCCCAGTGCCCGTAGCGAAGGCGACCTTTCGCGTGCACGCGAAGTGTCCAGCAACAGTCCCCCGCACGACATGCGCTCAAAATTATCACGCAGCCAATCTGTCATCACAGTGGCAGGATTGTCTTCTCGCGTTCCGGGGAATTCTTTGACTCGTTGGATCCATTCGGGAAATGGAATAATGTTGTCCGGTGGAATGTTCAACTCCTGCGCGAGGAGCCTTACCATATCAGACCACGACTGACGGGCCGCATTGTCAATATGATATATTGAGTGTGGATCTTTTGTAAAGAGAAGGTCCGATAGGGTGGCTGCAACGGCATTCACCGGTGTCCAGGATAGCACCCCATCCAATGAGGGGAGGATCTTCAATGTTTGGGCGGATTTAAGGAGAGCCGGAAAGTGCTCTGCAGCATTCCAGTACCCACTTGTCGACGCTCCTGCTATTTGTCCGGGCCTTACTACCATTGCGTTGAATCGGTGAGGGTGTTGACACAAGGTCCTATGGAGAATTTGCTCGCAGACAAACTTGGCTTCCGCGTAGCCATTAGTCAAGGCCCAGTCGATCGTGCCGTGGCCTTCTAAAACAGTTGCCTCGCCAGTCAATAGCGGCCGATGGCCGACTGTGCCAATTGATGATATAAATTGGAACCCAATACGATCGTCAGGCGAACGAAGAGACGATATCTCGGAAGCTAAATCAACCAAGCTTCTCATCATCCGAAACTGCGATTCGAAGGCCGCTACGCTCTTTGCTCCACTCATGGGCCAAGCGTTGTGGATAATATGCGTTATAGCTCTCTTCAATGTATCATACTGCTCAGTTGGAAGTCCTAGGAGTGGCCCTTCGTCTTGCATGGCAAGAACTCTCACTTTGTCCCACTCGTCCGCAGTCAAAGTTATGCCGCGATCGGCCAGTGCTCGTCTTTGCCGCTGCATTGGTTGCTCCGCACCCCCTCTGTTGATGCAGTAAACGCGTTCAACTTCCTTCGTCCGAGCCAGGTGTGCCACGAGATGACTACCCAGGCTGCCAGTGGCTCCAGTGACCAGCACCCCTACAGAGCCTGAAATAGTCCCTGCACCAGGCACAGGAACCGTGAAACCTTCAATAGCGCGCGAAATGTATCTATCAGTAGTTTGTTTACGAGCTGCAGAGTCAATTCCCGTGAAAATGTCTATGCTCTTTGGTCTCGGGCCCAGAGGCAGACGTGGGTTTTGATTTCCCGTGCATGTTGCGAGAATGACGCGTTGAACGCTCACTTCTGGTGAATAGCCATCTGTCCAGTCGACATGACCATACCCAACGGCATGCAAGTCTGTCTCCCAGCGTCGCTCACTGGTAATGGCATGAGTGCGACCGTCATTAAACACCCACCAGCCGTGAAAAAGTCCGAATACTATGTCAATGGCAAATTGCGGCCGGGTCATCTCGAGCATCATGACCACTCCATCTGGCCGTAATGCTTCTCGCATATGACTAGTGGAGACTTGCAGGTTTGATGTCGCATGCACAGCATTGCTCGCGATAATGATATGCTGGGTCCCAAGGAGATCATCTGCTGGCGTCTTCTCTATATCGTGCACTCTATATCTTACAAATGAGTAGTCTTTGAACCGCCGACGACCTTGAGCCAGGAAAGCAGGCGAAATATCGCTAAACGTATACTCAACAGCAATTCCAAGTTTAGCGAGACCTGGAAGCAGCCACTTGGTACCACCTCCAGTTCCGGCACCCATCTCAAGGATTCTCAGTGGTCCTCCTGGCCTTTTGTCAAGTAGACTCGCGAGACGCTGGATATAATACAACATTTGCTTGTACCCGGTAACATTGTGAGACTCATCGCCGTACATCCAGGAAACGAGTTCTTGTCCCTCTTTGGTTCCGAAGATTAGCTGAAGGCCGTCCTGGTCACCGCGCAGGACAGAAGCCAGCTTGCTCCCTGTGTAAAAGGCAAGCTTGCTAGCACCTGCGAATTCAGGATAGCTACGATTAATATCTTCCAAAATGGTGGCACTGGACTTGTCAGTCCATGCGACTCCTGTGCGGATCGCGACCGTCTCTTCCATGTCCACAAGGCCGGCTTCTTCTAGCCGTCGGTATAAGTAGTCGACCAACTCCTGATGCTGGGGGTCATGGGGGATGCGATCCAGGCGTGCTCCTGGCTGCGCAATGCGGATGTACGAGCCTAGAGCCTCGAACGCCTCTAGCGTGAGGGTGACGCAGAGCTGCATTTGGAGAGGGTTGAAGCTGTGGACGCGCCCACTGCAGTGATTCTCCGACAGGAACTGATCGGTCAAGGCTTTGGTTTCACCAAAAGCCTTTAGGACAATGTCTTCAGGTAAATGAAGTTCTGGGGTGTCTGTGCTGGCGCTGGTGTTTGTTTCAGAAGACACATCGACCGACTCGGTATCTTGATCACCATTGTCGGATGTAGTGTTACTATCAATGCTCTCTTGGGTGTTGATGTCCAATCCCATCGCTTTCTGCACTGCAACGACAAGCTCGCGGAATGTCTCTGCCTCCATCAAGGCCGTGGCTGGCAGGGTACATTTGAAGGCTTCTTCTAACTCTCGCGCCAATTCCATCGCCATCAAAGAATCCACGCCCGCATCTGCTATGTTATTATCATCGCGAATCTCACTAGGGTCTACGGCGCAAAAGTTAGCCACCACCGATTTGATGCGTACGGGCAGGTCTGCTGTCTTGTGTTTCGTTTCTCTATCTGCCGGTGGTTCTCGATTCTTCTCATCAGAAGCAAATGCTGAGGTCGTCACAGGTCTAACGGGGTTGACCTGAGCATCGCCCAAGTTCAACCTGGCAAGGATCTTGCAGAACATCGCCTTGGGCACACGCGAGTATTTCATGCCAATAAAGATCTCCACCAATTGACCACTGTTCGGCTCGAAAACGAAGATATCGCTGGTATAAAAACCATCCGATCGCTCGTGTGTCGCTAAAACATCCCATGTTTCCGGTCGCGGTGTCTCCGGGTCCGCGTACATCGGCGTGCGCATCCACTGCTCCATACCACTGGCGATATAGATGTCCGATGGCGACCGGTCCGTCATGCAATTCACCCAGAACCCGCCAACCTGGCTAAAGGAGTCGCAGAGGAAGGTATCGGCCCAAGTCTCGGCTAAATATTTTTTGACTACGCGCCCGGCCGATTCGTTCCCTTTGCCTACAAGCTTTGTCACCCCGCGATATGTCTCAGAATAGTCAACCACTTCGGAGAAGTAACGGTAGATATTGCGGCCTTGCAGCACGTCATCTAAGTTGGCATCGTGGAGGAGTTCCCGACAACGTCGATGATTTATCAGGCGACCGTAACGAGCAAACTCGGCAGAAAGTTCCACGTCGTCGGGGTCAAACATTCTAATCTGGGCGACGCAATGCTCCATTTGAGAGCGAGCACCTTTCCGGCTATCTTCGCTGGTATATTTCATGTTCCAGATGGTCTTCTCCTTATTTTGCGCATGCAGTAGGATGTAGACATCTCGGCTGTCAAGCCCAAGTGGTGCATCACTTGTTACATTCCGCACTTGTGGAATCTTTCCTCGTCCTTCTGGCAGGCTCCGCAGTGCCTCTACAACGTTGTCCAGCATATGCGACGCTGGAGCAAGAGGAGCCGTCTGCGCACCTACATGACCAGATAATGCTTCTTTGTACTTGCAGTGGGTGGTATTGACGCGAAACTTGGCGATCAGCTGATGTTTGTCTTGATAGCCAAGAAACTCCAGTGTCTGGTCACTTTGAGGATTGATCTGTTGATGGTTGACTGCCGGCAATGGCTTATTATCCATCCAATGTCGACTCTTCTCGAACTGATACGGCGGCAGTAATACAATGCCGTAATCTGGGGCTTGGGTGAAGTGGTGCGCCCAGTACGTCGTGGGCACGCCCTCCTTCCAAAGGCCTATCGTGGCGTCCGTCAAGTCGCGGACACCGTTCTGCCCGGTGATGTTGACAGCTTGGAATCTATGATTCACGCTGGATGCCTCTAAAGCGCGACTAATCATCAGCGTGATGGTTGATCCGGAGCCCCCTTCTAGCCAGACACAAGAGGGGTATTTTGCAGCCAGACGCCGAACAGCGTGGCTGAAATACACAGGCTGGCGTAGGTGATCGGCTACTATACTTTTAGGTGGCAGACCGGATACTGCATGCTCCTTCGCGCGTTCTAGGTGGATGCTCGGCTCGCTGAGTGTCAGGTCCTGCGTTATGTCGTGCAGGTCAGACATCAGCGGCTCTACCAAGCTACTGTGAAAGGCATTGGTAACATCTAGTCGCTTCCACCGGAGACGTGAGAACGTGTGGTGCGTCGTGAGAGTCTGCTGGACTACGCTTATAGCTACTATGGGGCCAGCGAGAGTGAAGCTACGGGGGCCATTGAAGCAAGCAATGCCTACAAGGTCTACGCCGATGGGTGTTGCCTTCGCAGACTCGCTTAGGAGACCGTCGATATCCACCCGGTCGCCTTCCACCGCGATCATCCCGCCGGGATCGATGCCCCAGTTATCTCGGATAAGACGAGCGCGGCGGGCGACTAAGGTCAATGCATCTGCGAGAGATAATACTCCAGAAACGCACATGGCTGTGAGCTCACCGAAGCTGTGGCCGACAACAGCGGAAACAGGGACACCGCTGTCCGTCCAACAGCGCGCGCACGCGTATTGCAGTGAGAAGAGCTGTGTTTGCAGCTCGACGTGGTCTGTTATCGGGGTGCGCTCGAAGATACCAGGATAGAGGCTGGGATAGTCGGATAGTCGAAGCAGACGGTCGCATTCGTCCAGATGGTCGCGAAACACGCACATGGTGTCGTAAACGGTGCGGTCTAGGCCCACGAAGGTGGACACTTGGCCTCCGAAGCAGAGCACGATGGGAGATACATGCTTCTTCGGCCGGATGAACTGTGTGTCCTGCCCGTCGGCTACAGATGCTAGTTTTGCATCTAGGTCGTGTATCGAGGAGCAGCTGAAGACAAGCTGGCAGTCCAACGTCGGATTTGACTGTCGACAGGCGCTGAAGGAGATGTTAGCCAGGGAGGAAGCATGTTTTGAGGACAGTGCCTTTCGCTGCAGAAAATGCCGCAGTCGTCGCGCATAATTGCGGATCCTAATCTCATCCAACCCACACAACCTGAACGGCAATGAGAGCCCATCTCGATGAACAGTACCATCCTGCTTCCGAGACACAGGAGCCTGCGTTACCACAACGGAGGCATTCGACCCACAAGCCCCATAGTTATTAATCAACGCAACGCGATACCCCTCCTCCCACTGCTTCACCTCCTTCGGAATCTCAATCATCTCATCAGCCTTGATATTCGGATTCAAGCTATCAAACCCAGGCTGCGGGGGAATTCTCTCCTCATGGATCATCAGCAGCACCTTCACCAGCGCCACCATCCCCGACACACCCTCTGTATGCCCTACCAAGCCCTTCACCGATCCCAGCGACAGCTTCCCCTTCCTCCTCACACTTGCAGCCATTACCTCACTAACACTGGCATATTCCGCCGGATCACCCGCCTGCGTGCCCGTCCCATGCGCTTCCACAACCGACACATGTCGTGGATGAACCCTCGCTCGTCTCGTAACCTTCCTAAACAAACCTGCCAACGATCCCGCATGCGGCACCACAACAGGAGTACAATTATCATTCTGCTCGACGGCTGTACCAGCAATCGTTCCCAGAATATGATCCCCATCCTTAACTGCATCGGACATCTTCTTGATGAAGATCGCTGCGACCCCTTCGCCGCGGCAGTACCCGTCCGCCTTGGTGTCGAATGGTTTGCATGGCCCTGTAGGGGAGAGGAACGACGCACCGTTCAGGTTGTCAAATCCCAGCGGACTAGTGATGCAGTTCGCTCCGCCGACTAAGGCTGCTTTGCAGTCGCCGTTGAGGATGGCTCGACACGCATGGTGTAATGCGACAGTGGACCCGGAGCACGCTGTATCGATACATAGAGCTGGTCCGCGCCAGCCGAAGTAGTGACTTAGTTTGCCGGCGATAAAGCTCCGAAGCAGGCCTGTGGCAGCGTAGGCGCTGGCTGGGTGACAGTTGACGTTGTGTTCGTAGTCGACGGTACAACAAGATACATAGCATCCGATTTCTTTGGTGCTGTTCTTGTTGTGAGAAAAGTATCCCGCTTGTTCCAGCGCCTGATACGCCACCTGAAGAAGCAGCCTCTGCTGCGGATCCTGCGCCATCACCTCTCGGGGTACCTTCTTGAAGAATTTGTGATCGAAGGCTTCGATATCGGAGACGAAATTCCCCAACCAGGGCCTGGTAGTGGCATCTGGCCGCCACGGTGTCTCGTAGTCTTTGTATCGCTCCGGTGGGACTTCCCTGTGCTGGGACTTGCCTGCGCAGAGCAGCTGCCAGAACTCGTCGAGGTCGTCTGCGCCCGCGACACGAACTGCCATTCCGACTACTGCGATATCGTCATCGTAAATGCGAGGTGGGTGCAATGGTGAGATGATGCGAGGGTAGATATCGAGCTGGAGGTCGTCGAAGTGGATGATACGGTCGCGTAGATTGCGGTGGAAAGAAGGGGGGATGCAGCGCTCGTGGCCGAATTCTATTACGATCGCGTTGGTGCTTTGTAAATGGGTGTGGTATATTGATGAGAATGTCTGGTACCACATGCACTGCTGGGAAAGGACGGATTGTAGAACGAGGCGATGGAGGGGCCCAAACTGTATAGGCTCGCCGGTAATGTTCGGCCATGTTTGATGCTTCATCTGGGATGCATCAGGGAGCTGCAGCGTAGGGTGTGCATCGCAGAGAGCATAGAGCGCATCGAGGGTATTCCGGTGTCCGGACCAGTGGTATCGGCCGTTAAAGTTGATATGGGCAGCCGAAAGCCCAGCGTCGTGCAAGGCGTGTAGTAGGGAAGAGAGACTACTCCTCGGAGTCATAATCGTGCTACGATTTTCGTCATATCGAACGGTGACGTACGCCTACACAGTCAGTATATCCCCAACGCGCCCCCTAAACCACAATAAACATACCTCAGGAAACTCCGCCAGCACCCCCTCCAACTCACCCTCATCCTTTCCACACCCAACAGTAACAGACGTAAACCTCCTCTCCGCCTCCATCGCATCCCCCATAACCCCGAGCAACATCGCCAACCTCACCCCAACCGCCCCCCAAACCTTCAACCCATCTAGCCCTTTCCCTTCAGCCACAGTGGCAGCCGCCACAGCAGCGCTCAAAAAGCCAATACAAAAGCCCACGAACTCCACCGCATCCCCATCCCCATCCACTTTCCCCCAATCCCGAAGTCTCAAAAACTCCCCAAACTGCACCAAATGCCCCACCATAAACAACGGCGCATGCAACACATACGGCAGGGGGAACCACTCCTCTTTGACTTGTACATTGGGACCTAGGACCCAGCGACGGAGTTCGCGAAGCTGGGACTCTGCGTCTGGGAGACGTTGTCGGAGACAAGGGATGTAGGTGTTAAAGTGTTGGAAATAATCTGGAAGTGAGGCGAAAGCGTCCAACACCCAGTGATTCTCTGGGTGGGAGTGGATGGTTTCTCTGAGGAGGTGAAATTGGGTCGGTGTGAAGGTGGGGGATTGGCAGCCGAAGAGAAGGATGCTTCTTTTTTCTTTGGATTGTTGAATTTGGGTGAGGAGGGTGGTATGTTGGGGATGATGTTGTTGTTGGGGTGGTGGAGGATTGGCGGGCATGGCGGTGTTGATTGATTGATGGCCTTGTTTTGGAGAGTCGGTCAATAATAGTCAACTTGTCCACTTCACTTGACTAGTCAACTAACCAACCCGTTATCCGTTAACCGGTTATTCAATTGGGTAGGTAATTGGGTGATTTGGGGAAATAGAGAAGCCACCCAAGCACTCGTATTCGTGACCAAGCCTAACTTAGCATTTGCTAGTTTGATAGCAAAGACCAATGAACAGTCTAAAGAGGGGGGGTTATATTGAGACAGCTCGTATATCGTTGGATATGACAGACGCATTTGCTTTTTTATGAGGGTCTTGGCTCAACGTCGGCCGGAGTTAGTTAACCGGGTTATCTCTTCGGGAGTGAGCGTAAGCATAACCGTATCAGCGAAATTGACTAGCTAGTAAGGTTAGGTGGGAAGTGGGTGGAAAGGTACGGTGGATACGATACTGTTGTACGAGTGACCACGACGGGGCTTTTGACTCAATGAGCGGTCAGAAGAAGGGGGATATGGATATACTCTGGGCAGAGGATTGGATTGGATTGGATGGCGGGGAAAGGGACGGAGTTATTGAGGGACGGAGTTTCCATAGTGGTTGGCGATGATGGGTACGGACACGGTGTAGAATAGGGGTTAGGTATTCAACGGGTTCAAGTAGTTTAAATAATGGGATTGTAAATTATATTATCTTTCTATTTGACTCGAGAAAGTAGGTTTCTTGTTCGTCTACTTTCTCTTTCTGCTTCCTCTCTTCTGCCTCCCCACCATGAACCAGCACGGATGATACCATTAGCAAATGGTACAGTAATTAACCTTTGGTCAAAGTTTCGCAGATGACATATCGCAACTGCTTCGCAAAACCCAATCAATGTCCAAAGAATGAAACCCGAGTACTCCCCGCTTGTCCGGTCCGACCAGTCGACTACACCGAACGCTACCATACCATACCCTAACCCTTTGAAAAGAATGACAAAATCAGACTGAAACAGAACAACAAATGAAACCCACGACGGGTGTTATTGAACCGACAATGGCGGACTCTGCACGGGATTTTTCACCCTATCCAGATCATGCAGGCTCTCGACCAGTTCATGCATCATCATCTCGAACGACGGATCGAGGTACCCGTGCGACGAGAAGAACTCGGTGCACATCATCAGAGGGATCGGTGTAAGGGGATGCACCTAAGGCCATTAGTTGCTTGCTTCGCATGTAAAGTGGGGGAAAGGGAATTACCTTAAAATATCCCAGTTGCCCCTGCATCTTCACCAACCCCACTACTTCGTGTGCCGCCAGGACACACACCCGCTCAAACTCAATGATCCCCAGCAAGTGGTCCCCGGATTTCCAGGTAATACTCTCGAGCACACTGTGCAGGAACAGCACCATGCTTTGGGCCACGATGCGGGCGAATATCAGCATAGGATCGACATGCGGGTAACTGGACAATGTGGCAATGCGGTAGGTGAGCAGTTCGTGTAGATAGTTATGTCGCGTCCAGAAGTTGTCCGAGGGGATGTGGGTGAAGTTGGGCGGGTGGATTTGCTCAACGGCTACGGTTTGGCGGTGGGTGAGAGCGCGGCCCACGATGGTGGCGATGAGAATGAGTTCGGTGAAGGAGGAGAGCGGATCCGGGAGGCCGAGGGTCGGAGTGGCGGTCGGAGTAGGTGGTGGAGGGTGAGGGAGAAGGATTTGAGAGTGAGAGGATCGACCAAAGACAGTGGGAGAGGGCATGGTGGTTGCAGTGGGAATAGGAGAAGTAGGGGGAGAAGGAGACATGACATCGGACAGGTAGGACGTCAAGGTGGGCTGTCCAGCTTGGAAGTCTTCTTCAGGGCAAGGGAGGCGTGTAGTGATCTGTTTCGTTAGAAGTGTTCGTGATGAAGAATGAAGAGGGCACTCACCAACTGTTCATCCAAGGTGAACGGCAACCCGTTGTGGAAACTGATAAACCGGTCCAGACTGTAGGCCATCCAGAACGTCCGACGCTGCTCCTCCAAGCCAATCCAGTCCACCAGCACCGTCTCATGCTCGCGCGCCATCGTTACTGGACTGTTCGGGTCATCCAGCTCATACAGTCGCATCCCCAGGACCAACCGACAGCATCGCCCCGTACTCATCCATGCCTGAAGCGGCGATTGCTGCATATACTCGTAGATGCACACGAGGATCCAAGCCTGTGCTGGCTCGATCCCGGGCGCCGTATCCGTAGGGGGTCCTTGGAGGTCCAGCGAGTCGAGCATCCGGCGCGTCTCTGCATACAACCGGTCACGGAGAGACTGGAATTGGGCCGACATACTGGCCGCCAGCGTCCACATGGCATACTGAAGGCAGGTCTGCGCTTCCGTCTTCTTGGGCTGCTTCGCCCAGGTGTGGTAGCGCCAGCGTTGCAAAATAGGGGCGAAAGGGTGCACCCGATCAAAGTAGAGTTGGTCCCTGCACTAGTTAGTGGGTATTCCAAATAATCCAAGAGAAGCGTACAGATCGGCTCGCATCAAGTCAGACACGAGGCTGGAAGGCCGGTTCGGAGATTCGGGCGATCGCGGAGATCGCGTCCCAGTCCGGCGGTCATCGCTGGACTGATCGGGCATCGTGCCTGATATGGGATCGGGCAGCGGAGGCAGGTCTCGTAGCGGATCTTCTTCACTGTCACAGTCAATGACTGTGCCGTCAAAGATACTGGCCATCTGGTGGTTGATTTCGGGGTGTTGGTCGGCCAGACATCGTTCCAGTGCGGCTGAGACGATTAGTCTCTGTCTTTGGGACGTGAATTCAAAGCACCACCTACCAATTCGTGTGCGAAGGGTCCGTAACTGTCCCTTACGGGGACCCCGGGGTAGCCTCGTGGTATTGATTTTGCACTCGATGCCCGTCTCGAAGCAGACCTGGCATTGGGGACGTCGTCGGTCACAGCGAACCTTGCGACGACGACATTCCTCACAAGCGGATCCCGGTCGCTGGCGGGAAATAGTAGGAGTCGAGACCATCCTAGCGGTGATGGTCGAAGGGGGTGAAGAGACAAACAGACAGGAAACACTCAGTTCGCAGAGAAATTGGGGTTGGGGTGGAAGTGTGGCCTAGCACTTATAGCCTGTAGGAGTCGAGGCTGCAGCGGCAACACACCAGTAAAATTCAAAGGAACAACCAGGAGCAGCAGCAGCAGCTTATGTGATGAACAGGCGCCGCCGTGATAAGATCCAACGAAGAGGATCGACCCGCGATAGCGTACTGAGAGGGGGGATGGAGACGAGAAGGGCTGGCAGGCGGCAAAAGACCCAGTGAGCAGGAAGGGCAGTGATGGAACCACCGTGGCTTGCTTTGCTTTTGTCTATTAAGCTCATAGGCACGGTCAGAGGCCCGCCATGGAGGGGATCTGCTGTACGATCGTGTGATACTAAGTGCCAGGCCTGCAGCTGCAGCAACCTGCAGTGCAGCAAGCAGCTCGCATCCAACAATAGGCCAACCAAGAAAGCAAGAGACAGACCCTGACGTCTGGTCTGGTTGTTAGTTGGACGGGTTCCTACCGTGAGCAAGGCACAGCAGCTTCTTGCCGGGTGACAGGAAGTTGACGACAGAAGTTGGCAGCGGATTCTGCTGTCCCTCAAACTATTGTCTCTACGAGTAATTGTATTTCCGGTTTAGGAGTGAATAATCGTCCTATTTCCCGGGGGATCCACGATAAACTGGAGCCACCGACATCATGCTATCAGTGGGAACAGACCTCCAAGGTGATCTCCGACTACAAGGCTTCTGGATGGGTAATCAGCCAGCCACAGGGACCACTGCACACGAGCTGCTCTAGTGGATTCACAGACTGCACGAGGTGCAGAAGTACCGGGCCCATTGTTCAGGGCCAGACCCACCGGTGGTGCAGGAGAGACGCTGATTGCAGGGAAGGACAGAGTAGGAGTGGGAATGCAGTGAGAAGCAGGAGAATAGTAGCCAACCTGCTGTCCACCACACCGGAGAGAAGAGAGGAAGGAGCAAAGAAACTACCCAGTGATTCGTGTGTCAGACTGGCAGCTGCAGTTCATTTAAAGTCTGTGAGGGACCGTCCGACCTGAAGAAATGGCGAGTTGTGCGACCCGCGGAAAATAAGGACAGGATACGTGGTGATTTTGTCAACAAGTGGAGGCGAAAGTTCTGTCGGGATGAGCTTTGGTTCATCGCTAGTGGCAGGATCCGCACCGATAGATCAGAGACTGGAGGATCCGCTCGGGCCAGCCGGTCGGATGGCACCATCCTGATTGGCGTGCGTGTAGAATCGAGATCCGAGCGATGAGTCGTCTGGCATAAATGAGCATTATATTAAATTTCGGTGGGGTTTAGCGTTGTGGGCGGTGGAAGCTGAGCGAAGGTGCAAAGTTTGTGATTCTGGTGACCATTTCAGGGCTGGTGGCGTCCCCTTTTCGTCTCTCCCGTGGGCCCCATCCACTGCTGGTTGCATTACAATTGAACCACTGCTGCAACCTGGTCCCAACTGACTGGCAACTAATTCCAGACGAGACCAGTCTTACTCGAAATGGCTAATTGACAGAAGAAGACCTCCAAATCGGGCCGAGATCGATCAGCCCGTGGATCACCAGCTGAGGATCGCCTGCAAAATGGAGCCACTATTGATGCTTGCTTTTTGCCAATTCGGACGGGCCGATACTGGCGCCAAAATGGTGGATCCTTCAGACGGAAAATGCCACCATGTCACTGAGGGAAATTAGACGAGGAATATTGCTACCAAAAGTGGGAAAACTACAGAGCAGAAAGGGACAATGCGCACAGAGCAATGGATTGATCTGTTGTGCATGCGGGTTGACCGCCCCTACAGCTGCCATGCTGGAAGGGATTCAGAACCAAACTGCCTGGCACCGGCCATCTGACTGTGAAACTGGTTGGCAGTTCGTGAAACTTGCCTGTGACCAGTGATTTCTCTTATTCTTGGTGTTTATGCATTATTTATACAAGCGTGGTCGCGATGGCAATCCACCACTGACAGCCGGGCTTTCCATCAACCCTATCATCACTGTCATCAACAGCAATCAATCTAGCAATCAATCGCGATACAATTGACAAATCGCCATGGCTCACACTCAGGACATTCTGGGCCAGTTGCCCCTCCTTCAGTCCTACACCCACGCCATCCTCTGTTTCCAGCTCGCCTCCAACACCACTCCCACCATTGACCTGGAATCCGCCGCGCAGCGGCTGCTAACCCTGTTCCCCATTCTGGCAGGCCAGGTCATCAAGACGGGTGCCTCGCCCACCTCGTCCGGTGCCTACCAAGTCGTGCCTTATCCAGTTCGCACATCCCCCATTATCCGCTACGTCGACCATCGCTCGGATCCCCAAATCCCCAGTTATAACACTCTGCGAACGGCACATTTCCCCTTCAACCAAATGCCAAGCACCCACTTCTCCCCTCCCCACCCGGTCTTCCCCATCCCCTATCCAGACACTGAACCCGCCCCCGTGCTCGACATCCAAGCCAACATCCTGAATGGAGGGTTCCTGCTCACCCTAGCCGCACAGCATAACATCATCGACGCCAGTGGCATCTTCCAAATCGCCTCGCTACTGGCCCGTCTCACGCGGGGCGAACCGATCCCAAAGGCTGAGGTCACCGAGGGCAACTTGGACCGCCGGGATCTGATTTCCCTGCTGGATGACAGCCAGCCCCTCCGCTACGACTACTGCGAGTATCTCCCTTCGTTCATGCAGAAGATCCCCCCTAACCTGACAGCACTGTTCCCCACCTTCCAATGGGCTTATTTTCACTTGTCCAGACGTGCCGTCGAGGCGATCTACGCCGAGGCCGTCTCCTCCCCGTCACACTGCTCCCCTGTGCAGATCACCCCCAATGATGCACTCACGGCATTTATCTGGCAACGACTAACACTGACTCGTCTCCACCACTCCCCCAGCCCGCTCGCTGCTACTGACGTCTCCAAAATCTCCCGCGCCATGGACCTCCGTCGTACTTTGCACCTCTCCCCAGCCTACATGGGACACATGATCCGTACCGCTACACTGCGTCTCCCGCTGGGCGAGATCACCTCGCTGCCGCTGGCAACGCTGGCTGCGAAGCTTCGGGATCAAGTTGCCGAGCTACGCACGCTGGATGCTGTGCGCGACTACGCTACGTTTCTGGCGCGGCAGCCAGACAAGAGCAAGATTGCCTACAGCGGAGGCGGGTTTCAGCCGGTTACGGATCTGAGTTGCTCCAGTATCGCCCATGTGGACTATGATCGATTGAGCCTGGGGGGTGCAATAGGACGGTGTGAGGGAGTCCGTCGCCCGGGAGGGGGAGTATTGCCAGGCGGTTGCTATATCGGACCGGCGGGGGATTGGTATGGCAGTGTGGGAGACGAGGAATCTCGTCAAGAGACGGGAATAGAAGTGCTAATGTGTTTGGATGGATGGGAGATGGAGGGGCTGAGAGAGGATGAGCGGTGGAGAGAGTGGGTGGAGTATATTGGGTGATAGTAGTATACATACCATGATAGTAAATGATAACGAGATAGACATGACTCGCGATCTACAGTAGTTCGAACTCAATTGTAGATAACACAGTAGCCCTCCAACAGTATGGGGGTATCTCTACTCCCATCTATTATCGTTCCCCCTCTGCCTTCAACATCCCATCGCTGCCCCTGCCTCTCCCAGCACAATCACCCCCATCTACGAAGCGAAGTAGAATTAAACTGCTCACTCCAGATATGACACCTCACACTCCACCTGCAACATGCAACATGCACCTCAACCCCCACTCCAATCCCACATCCCAACCTCCGTAATCGGCACTCCCACAAGGAGAAGCAGAAGCAGAAGCAAAGGAGAAGCACAGTTCACTTCCTGTCCCGAGCTCTACACTACTCACCTATCTGACCTGTTCTCTCCCCTTCCCAGTCCTACACACCCTTCCCCTGACAATAACCCATAGAAATCCCCGACCCGTCCGTCAACCAAACTCCCGCATTCATATCCCCGAACACACAAACCACAGTGTAACAACTCCTTACGAAGGAGCGACTTCCGGAGAATTAAACCACCACACATTTACCCCTCAGATACTAGCTAAGCATTTTAATTGGGATTAGAAATGTTGTAAACGCCGTTTCATCTTCCCGTCTGTCCGCCTGTACAATATTTTCCGTTCCTTGGTTCATTTATTTGTTCCGTCGCCGCTCGCCCGTCCGTACGGCCCGGACCGGACTGGACCAATACAACACAACACAGCTCACCATAACAAGTAGCAGAGTGATGTTCTTCAGGGCTCATTTGTGCAACATTGAAGGGGGAAGAAGGAACAGGTGTGACAGACATGGATTATGGTGAAACGGGTTTCATGTTGAAAGAGAAAGAAATCACTCAGTTAGTACATGAGACACACTACCAGGATACCAGTACTAAGTAGTGGTGGTAAGTATGTGACCCGGAATATATTTCCAACCCTACCGACGGGCGGCGTATCTTCGCGCTTCGGTTCATGAACATCACTGGCATTCCTTCCGTTGTACCACAACAATAACTATAACCAACAGAAGAAAAGAAAACACAAGGGATAGAAATGGCGATATTTCCAACCCGACCACACGCCTAATTCTCCCCCTCCCCTCCGAGCAAAGATATTCCTTCATTCGGGAACTCCATCCTAGCCTGTACTCCAAGTTTCTGTGCAACACCACAACCAACGGAAGAAGGGAGGGGGAACGAACTGCGGACTGTGTGACGTAGCACAAGAAAGCTAAGATGCTGGTCCTGGTTCAATTCATGAAAATCGGTTCGTGTGGGGGTGTTGGTTTGGTTCCTGGGGTACATACATATTGTGTAACTATTAATCTGTGTTTAGTGTTACACACTGGTTTTAGCTAGGACTGGGATGATGGGGATGCTTAACATGGTTAAGCATTCCTTGCTTACTTTCTACTGTTTACTATGCAAGCAATACTCAATGCTAGTAAACTTGTTAAGTTAGTAGTATACACTAGATGATTAGTTTACATCGTCTATCATATCAGACCTACACATCACCCATCACAACGCATCAACAAGAAAGCAATGGCAGAGAAAAGCCCAACCATCGAAATCGCCATCATCGGCTCCGGCCTAATCGGCACCCTCCTCGCCCTAGGCCTTCTCAACATCCCCACTTCCACCACAAACTCAAACCCAACAACCCTCCGCATAAAAATCTACGAACAATCCGCCACAACCCACGAACTCGGCGCCGGAATTGGCTTCACGACCTGCGCGCGGAAATGTATGACGCTCATGGACGCCCGCATCGCGGAGTGTGTAGCGCGCGTAGCGACACTTAACGGCGAAGCGGAAGATCCAGATTACTGTATGCGGTTTGTGGATGGGTTTAGGACGTATACGGAGGATATTGCTGTCGGGGGAATGTCGAAGGATGGGGAGGGAGGAGGTGTGTATGTTAGGGGGATCAGAGGGGGTCATTATTCAGATAGAATTGAAGATGATAATAATAATAGGGCAGGCGAGGATGAGGGTAAAGGTGTGCACGTCTCCGGGAAAGTCTACAAATTGTATGCCGGCCCAAGGGGGTTTGAAGGATGTCATCGGGGCCAGTTTCTCGATGAAGTGATGAAACTTATGCCAGGGGGAGTAGTGGAATACAATAAGCGGGTGGAAGGGTATGAGAATCTTCCTTCAGGGAGGATACAATTGGGGTTTAGTGATGGGGGGAGGGTGGAATGTGATCTTGGTATGTGCTTCTTCCCATCGATAATTAATCCCTAGCTACATGGTATTGAAGAACGATGGCAGTCCTCGCCTGCGACGGCATCAAATCCCTCATCCGCACTCATCTCTACCCTGGGACAAAACCCCAATACACCCACCAATTCGCCTTCCGGGGCCTGGTCCCCATGACCACTGCAATCAGCAAGCTAGGCCGCTACCGCGCCCTCCGACAACACATGCACTGCGGACCACGAGCACATGTGCTCCATTTCCCTGTCGCGAAGCAGCAGCTCATGAATGTCGTTGCGTTTGTGCAGGATCCGAGTGACTGGATGCACTGCGGAATGACGGCACCAGCGAAGAAGAGCGAAGTCGTGGACGCGTTCAAGGAATGGGGTCCGTTTGTGCGTGCCGTGATTGATCTGCTGCCTGAGGAGCTGGATAAGTGGGCTGTTTTTGATACTTATGACAGTGCGGTGCCGAAGTATGCGGAAGGGAGGGTGGCGCTGGTGGGGGATGCGGCGCATGCGTCGTCGCCGCATCATGGAGCTGGAGCGGGGATGGGGGTCGAGGATGCGTTGGCGCTGGTTACGGCTATTAGGAGGGCAAGGGAGGATGTGGA